CCCCCCCCCCACATCCGTTCCTTGTCCCTCAGAGGTGGACTGCGGTACTCCCAGCTCAGTGAAGAACACCAAAGTGAGATTTAACTCCACCAAGATGGGCTCCCTGGCTGAATACGAGTGTGAGCAGGGCTACATCCTCAGCTCTGGGAACAACCCCAGAGTGTGCAGAGCACACGGACTCTGGAGCGAACCCCCACAGTGTCATGGTGACTGAGTTCCATTGTGAACATACTGAGGTTCTCCCTGAAGGTTGGGGTGGGGGGAGGACCGGAGAACTCTGAGTTTATACCTTCCCTCCCTGCTTCGGCTAATTCTGAACCACATGACACAGAAAATGGAGAGCCTAATAGTGGGTATATTCATGACAATTGGGAAGACCAGGCTCCAAAATTACTACATGTAGGACCCAAGACAAGTCTTTTCATCTCTCTGGGCCTCAGTTTCTCATCTGTAAAATGAGATCGCCGGACTTGGTGCCCCATAAGGTTCAGCTCTAAAGCTGAGAACTGGGAGAGACCTTAGAGATCACATCATCCAAACTCCTCAGTCTGTTGAGAAGGAAAATGAGGCCCAGAGAGACTAAGGGACTTTCCCGCAGAGATTCCCATGGCTGTGGCAAAGTGAGCACAACTCTTCCCAGCACTCCTGACTGGCTGCTTCATTAAAAAGTGGACATCACAGTAACAACCTGTGATGTCTGCACAGTCCCAAACCCTGTCAAAGGCCTTTCACGTACAGCATCCCATTGAGTCTTCTTCACACGCCCCTCAAGAGACCAGATCCGCATCTGTAAAATGGGTGTAATGAGGCAGGTTCCTGCCTACCTCACAGGAATGTTGTGGCGTCCCACAAAGAGAATGCAGGTAAAGCACATCACAAGGGATCAGACTCTAGAAATGCACCTTCTTCTTATCTGATGTTTTCGGAAGGTGATTCTAGGTCTAGACTCCTATGTTCTAGGGCTTCTTCCAACCTCGGCACTCTGTGATCTATGAAATCTAGAGCACCCCCAGCTAAAGCAGTGTCTATACAAACGATGGAGCTTCACCCAAAACAACAGCAGTTGCAGGTGCTTCAGTTAGAGTCAGAAAGACTTGAGTTCAAATCTGGCCTCAGTCACTGCTTTGTGACCCTGGGCAAATCCCTTAACTCCTGTTTGCCTCAGTTTCTTCATCTGTAAAATGTCGATAATAATAGCATCCAACCCACAGGATGATTGTGAAAGTCAAATGAGATAATATATGTAAAATGGCCTATAAATGCTAGCTATTATTATCATTATTATTATCATCATCACTACTGTCACTGCCCAAAGTGACCTGAGAGTTTCACAGTCAAGGCACAGACTCTGAACCATGTCAGCGGTCTCCAGAAGTGGGGCAGGGCTTCCCAGGGAAGGTGGGCAGCCACTCTGGTCCTTAAAGGAAGCAAAGAATTCCCAAAGTGGAGCTGAGGAGGAAAAACCATTCCAGGTTTGGGGGGGAGGGCAAACAGACCAGCTGTGCACAAGGCTTAAGAAGCCCTGCAGATCTTCTCCCCGGCCCCAGAAAGGAATGAAGCCATTTTCAGGAGCAGACATCTCCCATGAGCCCCAATTTCATTTTGGCTTCCAGACCAATAGCTACATCTCTATCGCACCAGCGATTGCCATCCCTGGTTTGGACTCTCTCATAGGTTTCTCAAGGTTTGTTAATGGATTTTCCAAAAATCCTCCTAACAAGGATAGAGGATAGGGAATGGACCTATGATTTGTGGCGAAGGAAATTCCCAGATGAAGAAAATCCCTCTTCCAAAGCAGGTCAGCTCCTTCTCTGCAAGTTACAGTCCAAGAGATCTCTCTTAATCTCAGAGAGGTCGTGACTTGCCCAGGGTCCCCCAATCTGTATGGGGCAGAGGCAGGACTTTCTGACTTGAAAGCCAGCACTCTCTCTATGCCAGACCGTTCCCAAACCAAATCAGTGGCCCTGTACTAAGATAACATTTCCATCCTCTCTTCCCCAACAATGCCCAACACGTCTCTCAGAAATCAATGAGTGTGAATCTCAGCCTTGCCTGAATGGGGGCTCCTGCAAGGACCGCATCGCCAGCTTCCTCTGCATCTGTGGCTCAGGATACATGGGACCCCACTGTGAGCTAGGTAAGAGAAAGTCCCATGAACCCTGAAAGGACACTCTGCCAGCCACATGGAGTACAAAGGGGAGGACCCGTGTGACCATGTTCTGGGCCCATCCTGAGCAGGTTAGGGCAGCTCTTGGCTAGGTGTGACATCAGAGCCTGGGCACAAGGTCCATGAGAGGAAGGTCACAGGTATATACAAATACGTGTATGTTATCTATACACAGACACACACAATCTTATATCTACCCATCTATACATACGCAGATAGACCCAGGGCCATCCCCAGTCATCCTGATCTATGTCTGGCCACTGGACCCAGACGGCTCCGGAGGAGAGACTGATGCCGGTGACTTTGCACAGCTCTCCCTCACTTAAATCCAATGCACTTGCAAGTCACAGCATCACCTTCCTGCTGTCATGGTTCTCTTGGAGAGCAAAGGACAAATGGCCACATAGACAGACAGACAGATGTGGACCTATATACATACTATTCACAGCAGCATTTTTTGTGCTACCAAAAAAACCTGGAAACTAAGGGGGTCCCTACCAACTGTGAAGCAACTGAACACATTCTGGTGCCTGAATGGCATGGCGTGCCCATGGTGCCAAACGGAGAAAGGCCTGCCCAGAGTCGGGATCGGGGCATTTAACCCGCTGGGGCCCCGGGCAGTGCTCAGATGGTCTGGAAGCTGACAAGTCGCTAGTCTGCACCTGTGAAGGGAGTTCCCCCCCTACACTGCTGAAATCCCTGAAAACCATGGACAGGCCTGCTGAGTGTGACAGTGACTGTCAGCTGCTCTTTATCCTTCTTTAACCTTCTTAGTGAGGAAACCGGTTGGCGGAGCCAAGCCCATCAAGCACTGATTAGGCACCTACTGTGTGCAAACACCACCCCAAACAATGAGGACGTGAAGACAAAAACAGAAGGTTATCCGTGTCCTCTAAAAGGCTACATTCTGCCAGGGGTGACCTAACAAGAAAACAAATGGGTAAATGGGGTAATCTGAGGAGAACGTGAGCAAGTAGAGGAATCAGGAAAGGCTTCGCCTTAGGAGAAGCTCAGAAGCCAAGCTTTGAAGGAAGCAGCTGACGAAGCCTGGTGTTCCCTGCAAAAGTCTAGAACCCGGAGACGGGAACAGCAAGGAAGGGCAGGTCAGCTAGGACGCGGGTAAGAGAGAGGAGTCATGTGGAATAGGCCTGGAAAGGAAAGCTGGAGCCAGACAGTGAAGAGCTTTGAATACCAAGGGCATGTTTTATCCTGAAGATAAGAGTGAGCCACTGAAGGTTCGCTGGGTAGGCAAATGACACAACGAAAGACTCTTTCAGTAGCCAAAGGGAGGATGGATCCGAGAGGGCAGAGATTAGAGCATGGGAGTGGGCTGCCCTAGTTCAGGTCTGCACCAGGGTGGTGGCTGGGAAAAATTGAGAAAATGGGTCCAACACAAGGTAGACTGTGAAGGTTACGGGAGACAAAGGGGTTGAGGAGGGACTGGAAGCATGGCCGTGTGCCCACAGCAGAAACACCCAGGTTGGGAAGGGAGGTTGGGGAAGACAATGGGTCTTCCATTTGGGTCGTGTTTAGTTCAGAATGAAGTGGGGGCTAGTCTGGAGGGGAGCTGAGCAGCAGCTCCTCAGATAACCCGATAGATAGTCAGGCTCTTATGAGGCTAAATGTTACCGTCCTAAGCCCTCCCTTGAGAGCTGCCTGGGCACCTCTCTGATGCAACAGTGCCAATCTCTTCTTCTCTGTATTTGTGCTTCATCCTAGGTAGAGACTTGATACTCTACCCCACCACAACTCTGCCACCACAATAACCAGTGCCGTGCCCACAGTAGGGCCTGAATTATTTATTGAAGGAATCAATATTGGGGAGGGAAGAGAGAAGAGGGCTTTTCCTGCTCACCAGTCTTTCAGAGTAGGGGAATACACAAGCATGTGATGACCATACACATAAACACTTCTGATTTCTGAACAGAGACTGACGAATGCCAGTCAGATCCCTGCAAAAACGGAGGGACCTGCAAGGATCTCCCAGCAGCCTTTGTCTGCCAATGTCCGGATGGCTTTGCTGGAATTCACTGTGAAAAAGGTAAGACTCCTTAAGGGGCCTTGTTGGACAGCTCCTCACTCTTCCCATCACCTCCCCCAAGCATCTCTCCCAGCCCTCCAATGGTGAGTCTGCTTTGCCTTCAACCCTCATCTTCAAAACTACCCAGACAGCTGTGCCTAAGCTAGGAAAAGGCGCCTGAGTGGCCATGCTCTGTCACTCCCCAAAGCTCTCCCCTCCCTCCTTCTCCCCTCCCTATGCCGAGACACTGTTTTCAGCACTGTGTGTGTTTTGGGAATTCTCTAGAAGTAGACGCCTGTGACTCAGGGCCCTGTCAGCACGGAGGAGAGTGTGAGAATGATGGCGGCTCTTATCTGTGTGTCTGCCCTGAAGGCTTCTTTGGCTACCACTGTGAGATAGGTAAGATGTGCACACGTATGACCGTACCGCTGGCTCACAACTAGCAAATTCCAAGCAGTCATGAGACTTTCCTGGTGTTCGAGAAGCAACCCAGGGGGTGTAAAGAGTACAAGACTTGAGACCAGAACCCTGAGTCCCAGGCTCAGCTTCCCCGTATTAGCTGTGAACGTATACATTAAGAGGCTGGTTGATTTAATGCTCTCAGCCTCATCTGTAGAATGGGCACAGCACAACCTCCTCTCTGGGTCTCCATCAGGATCATGTGAATCACTGTGCTCACAGTCCTTGGTAAAGCTCAGCGTGGCGCCATTAGTTATGATTCATTTGTCAGTGTATTAAGCTGGCTTCAGAGGCCCAGAATGCCCTGCTGAAGGCAGGCCTCCTTGGACTGACTCCCTCACTTCCTCGCCCCAGACAGTGGTGCCAGCACGCTTCTCATCTTGCCCTGTTCATTTGTGAGGTTGGATTCCCAGGTTGGGTTGTAAAATTCTAGGGAGGGGGGTGACCCTTCTTTTCTAATTGCCACCACACCTAGTGCAGTGTTAGACATGCAAGAACTGAGTTTCATTTAATTGCAGAACTGAGACGCACCCTGGGAGGCCTGGCTACACTGCCCGATGAGGAGAGCAATGACACATTTACATACTGCTTTGAGGGGCTTCTCCAAATTGCTTTAAAAAGTGTTCTTGTCATAACAGCCCCACAGTGACACAGGCAGAACATGGCACATCACAGGAGGAAGTTCAGGCTCTGAGAGGTCTGGGAAGAGCCTGAGGAGGGATTTACACCCAGGTCTCTTGGGTCCAAGTCCACAGCCTGAATCACCTCTCACTCCTCCTCCCCAGATGTCAGCCCCCACAGCTACATTCTGCCCCAACACAACCCCAGCAGAAAAGCAGTGTGGCTCCGGGTCACTGAGTGGGGCCCAGACACTGTCCCCAAACGAGTCCAGCCACCAGAGACCCCTCCTCCATCTACATTTGTGCAGTGTCTTGGTAACACTCAGGCTTATGCAATACATACATCTACAGCTCGTGAACTTGGTTTTTTAATGTTTTAATAACTATATTCTGATATATTTGATTTCTGTTGTAGTCCTATGTATTTTATTTTATGCTTTTAAAAATGTGATTCTAAGAAAGGGTTCACAGGATTCCCTCGCCTGCCTGTGGGGTCCAAGACACCAAAAAAGGGTAGAAGGCCCTGATGCGATCAGGACCCACTGTCCGCTACAGCCCAGGCCCAAAAGAAGGCCTGGATTTGAAGCTCAAACATCAGAGACCAAATCCTGGCTCTGTCATTTCCTAGCTGCGTAACTCTGACCTTCTTCCCTTCTCCAGCCTCAGTTTCTTCATCTGTAAAATGAGAACATTGGACCACATGACTTCCAAACTCCCAGTCCCAAATCCCCAGATCCTCTGACTTGCAGTTGACTTTGAGAGGAAGTCCGAGGTTGTCAGAAGCACTGAGCTGGGAGTCAGAAGGCCTGGGTTCTTGTCCTGGCTTCCACTGACTCACTGGGTGACCCTAGTCTGGTCCCTTAACCAATTTCCTTATGTATTTTGTTGTGGGAGCCAATACTACCTGCCACACTTCTCTCCTCTCTTGAGTTGTTGAGCTCAGACGAGATTACCACAGGAGAAAGGGGCCTCACATCATTTATCAAGTGCACGTGATGAATGCAGTCCCTGCTGACCCAGCTGCAGGGGAGGGTAGCGGAATGGAAGGGTGGCGTATAAATGGGGATTTGGGATTCAGGAACCTGGAGTACCAGGACAAAATCAAGAGTTACCCTTCAATCTCATCTTCCTTTCTTATTCAGCAAGCGATCCATGTTTCTCCAACCCCTGTGGGAGCCGAGGTTACTGTCTCTCCAGCAACGGGTCCCATAGCTGCACCTGCAAAGTGGGCTACACCGGCAGAAACTGTGCCAAAGGTAAAAGAGAGAGGGCGTGCCTAGGCTGGAGCACCACCAACGTGGGGGAGGGACTAATCCCCAAGCTGGAGGGTGTTGGGCCAGCCAGAGGCTGGATTCTTGTGCTCAGGTCAGCCTTGGTCTGAGGGGAGATGGGGGGAACCCTGTGAGGCAGGTGGGGGCCCCGGGACACCACTGGGAGATGAGACCTCCAAACCCAAAGAGAAGTTTCAAGTCTCTTTTCTCAGAAGAGTCCTGGTAGAACCTGTAGTCTGTGAGAGGAAAACTGAGAGCTCCTTTGGCTCAGGAAACTAAATATTAGAGCAAGGGACAGCTTCCCTGAGGAACTCACCCCCAACCCCCCCAGTCCAACTCCACTATAGTGGCTGTTCAATTCAGCAAGCATTTATTCAACGCCTACTTTGGCACTGCCGTAGACGCTTGGCTTACAAAGACAAAATAGAACAAGGCACACCCTCGAGGAGCCAACACCCTACCAGGGAGACAGTCTATACAAACACATACACATAAAATGAACCCGAGGTTCTTTTTGTGGGAGGCAGAGGGCTGAGACTCAGCTCAGCTCCTGAAGGACCTGAGGGACGAGTGTCCAGAGCAAGCCTGTGTCTACAAAGCCAGGCAAGATCGGCCTGCAGGGCCTCTCAGGGGCTGGTGGGAAGGAGAAGCAAAGGGACCCCTTGTCCTTCAAAACCCAGAGGGAGAGTGGAAATGCCAAAGGGGGCCTCGATACCCATCACACGATAACACACAGACCACTTCCACCATGTGTGATTATCCCAGACATTCCTCTCTTACTACTGTTCCAAACCTGGTCTTCATGGAAGAATGCATAGGCTCTCTCCCAACTGACTGGCCTCACAGGGCTCCCATCCCTCCTTGATCCCACCAAGACGCTCTGAGCAACCAAAGCCTCCAGGCTCCCCCAGCCCAGGGCCTTGCCAGCCGGCATCTCATTCCTCCCCGTTTCCTGTCCCATGACCCCCAACACGAGTGGCAGCGGGGTGGGCCACAGGTCTTCTCATGCTGTTTTACCCTCTTCTCTTCGCTCACGGCCTTGCTGAAACCCTCCAGAGCTGCTGCCGCCCACAACACTCAAGGTGGAAAGGGTGGAGGACAGCGGTGTCTCCATCTCCTGGCGTCCCCCCGAGGACCAGGCAGCCAAGCAGATGATTGACGGCTATGCGGTGACCTACACCTCCTTCGACGGCTCCTACCGCCGGACTGATTTTGTGGATCGCAGCCACTCTGCCCACCAGCTGCGGGCCCTGGCCTCGGGCAAGGCCTACAACATCTCCGTCTTCTCAGTCAAACGCAACGTAAACAACAAGAATGACATCAGCAGACCCGTGGTGCTCATCACCCGCACTCGTGAGTCCACATGTGGGGCCGTGGGGGCTCCGAGGGTCAGAGATCAGAGAGCTGGGTGGCACCCCTCCCTGTACAGGGATCCCCTCCCAGCCCTCCCCAGCTAGTGGGCATCAGACCCCCACGGCAGGGAAGCTACTGGCTCCCCAGCACCCTGTTCCACTCTGCGCCAACTGTCAGTGGGGGGGAGTTTTCTTATTGTTTTCCCCCAATATCAGGCCCACATTGGCCCCTTTCAGCTTCTTTCTACCGGGCCTTGTTCTGTTCTCTGGCTCTACAAGTGTCCGATCCATTTCCCACATAATATCCCTTCAAGTATGGGACAACTCTCCCATCTCCTTCTGAGGACGGAGCATCCCCAGTCCTTCAATGGGCCTGGGCCCTCTTCCGGATGTTCTAGAGTCCATCAATAGCCCTCACAAAACGTGGTGCCCAGCTGTAGTCTGACAGTGTGAACCACAGGGACGCTATTGTCTATTATCTTCTAGATGGTCTATTTCCAGGAATAATGCCTAACGTGGTACCAGATTAGAAGCCAGTGAACAAGCATTTATTAAGCACCTTCTATGTGCCAGGCATTGTGTTAAGCATGGCCCCTGCCCTCCAGGGGATCACATTCTAAGTGGGGAGACAACATGCAAATAACTGTCCCTGTCAGATGGGCATGGTCCAGAGGGAGGGCGTCACTAGCGACACGAAAGCCGTGCGCCGCTCCGATGCCGATGCTGTGGCTCGGGTCTTCCCCTGGGCGTCAGAAGCTTCCTTCCAGCAGCCGCCAGAACGTCTGCTACAAACCCTTGTTCCTCTAGAGGCCCTCTGCTTCTCTAGCGCATCCGGGTTCCTTCTCTATACCTGCAGGCACACTGCGTTTGTGCCCTCCGCTTTTACATCCGTTTTATCCACTGAGAGAGACTGAAAGCCTCCACTGTAGGTGTCAATACCCCTCGAATTTTAGGGATACTGTAGGAAGCAACCCGTGCTGGGGGCTGAACTCTCTCTAACCCCTTCCAGCTCGAAATCTAGGATCCTATAAAAACTGTGTAATACATTCCGAAGCCAATTCAATTCGAGAGCATTTATTAAGCACCGATTGTGCGCCAGCACTGTCCTATGTGCTGGGAATATAAAGAGAAAGAAAGGAAGTCCCTGCGCTCGAGGGCCTTACCTTCTGCCTGCCAGCAGAAATGTCTCTGAAGCCCTCTCTGCTGGTCTCATCCACTTCGTATTTTCAGGAACGACTTGAAACTTGCCTACGTCACCTTAGACAAGTCAGGTAACCTGGTAGGCCCTAGTTGCCTCCTCTATAAAATGAGGAAAGCACTTGACTTACCTGTGGATAGGAGGCTGTGTCAGGTTGTCTCGGGGGTCCTTTCAGCATTGAGATCTATGACTCTGGGGTGGGCGTGGGTAACCAGGAGTGGACTGCACTCATCTGGCTGGAGCAAATGGAATTTCTTCTGCTCCCAACAAATGGGTTTTTGTCCTGGTGGTTCTTCCTCTGTTACCCCTTTAACACAAGCCAATTCCTAAGCCCTCCCCTCACTCACCCCTGATTTAATGCTCTAGTACTACAATCAATTCAATCCAACAAACATTCATTAAGAACCCTCTTCTGCAAGGTCCTGCCCCAGAGCCCTGGGCATCCCACCTAACAAGAGGCTTGGGACTGACCAGTGGCTCCTTCATCCCTCCAGGGCCTCGGCCTGTGGAGGGCTTTGAGATCACCAACGTGACAGCCTCGTCGATCACAGTCCAATGGGCCCTCCACAAGGTCAAGCACTCCACTGTCAACAAAGTGCGTGTGTCTATCCGCCGCCTCGGGGACCAAGAGGACCGCGTCGTGGAGCTGGACAGCACCGCTGACAAGTACACATTCTGGTGAGGCCAGCAGGGATGAATAGGTCCCCTCTGCTGGTGCCACCTGCTTTACAAAGCCCTTTGTCGACATGTCCATACTTTGGCCTGGGGAGGACTGGAGAGAGTCCTGTGCCTCACTTTACCCACTGGACTTCTAAACCTGCCCCGATCATGTCCAACAGTCATACCAGCACCCTGCTATGTCCAGTTCTGTGCCAGGCACAGAGCTCCAGGCTCTGGGGAGACAGAAGCAATGGAACAGTCCCTGTCCTCAAGGGGCATCCCAGTCTCAACTGGGGAGAGAGACAGGAAAAGCATAAAGAAACAGTTAAAGGAAGTCCGCAAAATGAAAATGCAGACCAGCCACTCTGCTCATCCTCTCTCCCCCTTTTCTCAGGGATCTGCTGCCGGGAGAGAGGTACATTATTCACGTGACCACCCTCAGTGGGCTGGGCACGGAAGACCATCCCTCAGAAAGCCTGGCCACTGCACCCTTCCACGTGTGGACTCGTGAGTACGATACAGTGGGTTTAGGATCAGACCCTCCTCCCCTTGTCTTGGCTGCTCTGAGCTCTCCGCAAGAGCCTGGCGCCTTTCACGTCTTCATTCACCCCCTGGATGGGCACATTCTAGTCCCAGAGAATGCCACTGCTGCAGGAGAAAAGGAACCTTGGGTCCCCATCACTTAGTGGCTTAGAGTCTTTTCTGTAACACCTGTGACTTGACTTATCACAAATATACATATGTATGTGTATATATACATATGGGTATGAATATATACACATCTACATACAAAGTACTATGAGAAATGTCCCCCCACTGTGCCCCTGCCTATGGATCGCCCCCTAGCTGATGGCCCACTCCGAGCTCCAGCTCTAAGCTCTGTGTGTCCTGGGAGGGTCCAACACTGTGGAAACAGAACCTCCCGTGGCCTCCTGTCCCTGGAGGAGCTCAGTGCTGCCCCGTAGCCCTGGGGAATCAATCTCTGCACCATGCACTAGTTCAGTTCAGAGGAGCCCAGGGAACCGGAAGAGGAGAATTCCCTTTCCACGTCATAGATTTAGAGTTTCCTAAAAACAACCTCAGGCGCCTTCCAGACCAACCAGCTCTTTTTACAGATGAGGAAACTGAGGTCCAGAGGAGGCAATCACTTCGCCCTGGTCACTCGGCAGTAAATGATAGAGCCGGATTTGAGCCCAGCTGACTCCCCAGACAGCCCCATTTTCCACAGCACCACTCCCAGAAGGGGGAGGCTATGCCATGCATGAGCCATCACTGAGCAGGACCACATGTGAGGCTGACCCTGCGAGGGGCAGAGCAGAGGGGTGGTCATGGTAACTGCTCACCAGCCATAGGGAAGAGGGGCTGGGATCAAACACCTCTAGCTCTAAGAAGGGCAAAAGTGAGAAAAGCCAAATGTTCAAGAGAATTGTTTCCTCCCTGCCAAAAGAAATCTCAGCAGGGAATAGAGCACTGAATTCAGGAAGATCTGAGTTCAAATTTGGCCTCAGACACTTACTAACTATGACCCTGGGCAAGTCGCTTCCCCTCTGTTTGTCTCAGTTTCCTCAAGTGTAAAATAGGGATAATCATAACTCCCAGGGTTGTTAGGAAGATCCAATGAGTTAATGCTCACGAAACACTCTGCAAACCTTAATCGGCTGTATAAATGCCAGCTGATCCTTCAGTGACGACAGTTTTCCTTCTTCTCTTTCTCCCGCACCAATGCCTTGGGCAGGTCCTCTCTCGCCTAGAAACCTGACATCTTCAAGAGTCACGGCTACTTCTGCCCACATGGTGTGGGAGCAGCCACCTCCGGGGGCTTCTGTGGAGGGTTATATCATCAATGTGACCACAAGCCAGAGCGTGAAGAGCCGCTACGTACCCAACGGGAAGCTGACCTCCTACACCATGCGCGATCTGCAGCCAGGGCAAAGGTATCGACTCTCGGTGACTGCTGTACAGAACACAGAGCAAGGGCAGATGCACAGCGACCCTGCCCATCTATACATTATGACCTGTAAGTTCTGAACCGTCTTCCGTGCCAAATGCCTTGAAACCCTGACCATGGGGGAACAGATGCCCCTGGGGAAAGGGGCCTCCTCTCTACCAAGAGTTTCCTAGTATCTACTGACTGAGGCTAGCGCACAAAACGCCGTCACGACAGTCTCACGAGGGCCACTGTAAGTCACAGCTGTCACAAGAGATCTTACTAGCTGAGTAAGGCAGGGCCTGACACTTTGCAGAAACCACGCTCAGCAAACTCCCACGAGGCCAAGCCCCCAGGCTGAGTCACCAGGGGTGACAAACGAACCCTTGCACACGCCTGCTACCTTCTTCCAGGTCCCAAGAGTTACAGAGAGTGCAGACTCCCCCCACTCAGCCAGAAGAGCTGCTGGGTGCCAAGTGCTGTGGGGGATACAACACAAACAAAAGGCATGGAATTTGGCCTTGAAGCGTATTCCCAGTCCGACCAGGGATCTAGAGCAGACCAGAGTAAGGGAACCTCAGGATATTTATGGCACGGTTGTCAGTACCCCAGAGAAGGCTGGGCAATGGGTCTGCCAGACAGGAAAGCAGCAGTTGTTGCCACTAACCCTGGCAAGGGCACCAGTACACCTGCCCGCCCTCAGAATGCCTGCGTCTGGGGCCAGCCCAGGCTTCTGGGCCGCTGTTTCTGAACAGGCCTTCACATGGCAGAGCTGACTATGTTGTCAAGAAGAGTAACAAGAGAGCTAGATGAGAGTCACGTGTGGCAGAACAGTGACCTCCGGGGGGGGGGAGGTCTGGTTATACAGCAACTCTCCCTAAATGTCTATGTTTGTGCTCCCCTGGCATGTGGGCACCTTGGAGGACAGCCTCATGGAATAGGCTGATCTGCAAGGTGCAACCAACAGGCTGGGCAGTGATGACCGTGTCACAAGAAAGTCATAGCCATGTCCTCAAGAACACCTGAGCCCCATCCTACTCTCTGGGGCATGTCTGTGTCAGGGACCCCTGACAGTCAGAGCCTATAGGACCCTGACAACAGTGTACAAATATGAACAACCGCTCCAGGGCAAGCTGAGTAATAGAGGAGTAGGGTGAATGCCTGATGGTTCTTTAGGCCTGTGTCTTTGGTAGAAGAAATGTAGAGGCAGGCAGACGGTGGATGTGAGCACCCTACAGCACATCACCAATGAAGAACTGTGCAGGAGAAAAGGCATGAATGGGTATCATCAGAAAAGGAGACGGCCTAGACACGCAGAGAAAATGAGAGAAAACCAATACGTACAGTGCCAAGAGATCTAGAAATCATGTTTAATCTGATTTGGAGAGTTTTCTTGTTTTGTTTTCAAAATTCTTTACAGAAGTAGATGGCACTCTAAGAAGGAGGAGGGAGGGTAATACAGGAGAAAATTCAGGGGATATAAAAAATAGATATCAGTAAAATCTATGTTAAAAGAAGAAAGAAAAACAATGATGAAAAATTTGAAATCAGGGTTGGTAAAAGAGAACAATCACGTTAACCTAAAGACATTACGGAGTAGGGTGGACCAGAATCACATAATGATAAGGTGACAGCGCTAACACCTGGTGGTTAACACGTGACCAAAGGAAAGACCCGCATGTGAAGAGAAGGCTGCTGCCAGGAGCGTTAGGGAGCTGCTTTTGAGGAGAACCTGAGGCCCGTCCCCTAGAACAGATTCTGCCAGATGTGGCTCCGCTATCTGTGACCAAAGCTACGCACGGTCCAAACCAGGCACCCTCTTGTCTCCATCCTAAGGCCCAGGGACAAGGACTCTGGTCAGGGACATCCCTACAACGTGGGCTGGAGAGGGCGAGGGGAGGGAGGGGTCGGCATCATGGAGCCCACGAGTCAGGGGCTTCTTTCTGCTCACCTTCTCTGCAGCACAGAGGGATGGCTCTTCTGACAGAAGATGGAGCCAAGGAGGGCACCCCAGAGTGCTGAGGAACAGACTGCCCCCGTCCTTTCTGCCTGATCTTCGGCTGCTGGCTGACCGTGAGGTTTCCGAAGAACCGTCCCAGCCTCCCAGGTAGGGTTAACACCACCCCAACCCAAGCCCACAAGACCTGCTGCTAAGACTTTCCACATAAATACAGCTGGAAAATACTTCATCTCTGAGGGGTCTGCAAATGAACCGGTTCAGAAATGGTCTCCATCCCTTGTGGTGACAGCACTGGGTCACAGATCCATTCACCTTACAATAATAATAGTAGCCTGAATTTATATGATGCTTTAAGGTTTGCAAAGCACTTTACATATGGTGTTTCATTTATTCCTCATATCAACTGTGTGAGATAGGTGTTACTATTATCCTCATTTTACATATGAGAAAACTGGGTCTGAGAGATGTTGAGCTGCCTAGGGTCACACAGCTAGTGAGTGTTTGAAACAGGATTTGAACTCAGATCTTCCTACCTCCGAGTCCAGTGATTTATTTAGTACACCACCCAGCTGCCCCTGACGGATGCCTAGGATGAAGACTGGTCACCTCCAACGTTGTCTCAAAGGGTAGGAATGAGACCTCTGAGTTTGGTCAAGCAGACCACACTGGGGAAAGAGAATTTCTGGAGTCCTTTCCTCTGTTCTGCTCAGCCCCCTACTCTCCTAAAGCTTTTGGCAGACAATGTCTTTGTTGCTGTTTTCTACCTCTAGCCAGCCCAATGGTGATTTTATAGCTTCTTGCCACCATGTTTTCTCCTGATCAGTTGAAGAGACCATGCAAGGAACACTATCCTTCTACAAACCAGGTCCCAGTTTTGCCACCCAAATACCTACCTGGCAATGTCACCCGCTCAAACTGTGACATGTGTCTTTTGAAAACCAACAGGCTAACCTAGAATGCAGAATTTGAGGTCACGAAGGCTTGGGTTTAAAGCCTCCTTCTTCACCTTTGAAATAGGACTGTTGTAAGGACCCACTGAGATGTCTGTAAAGCTCTTTGCAAACCATAATGCGAGACAGAAACATGAGATGATATTATTCTGTTCCCCCTCCCTTGCTTTTCAGCTGGCCAGGAGTACAAGCTTGACTCCCTGTGCTCTCTGAAGACAGCAGTAACATGAACTGGATGTGCTAAGCATCTCATTAAAGGTCACTCTAGCAGTACTGTAGGAGAAATGATTTCAAGTAAAACAACAAATACCCAGAGGCAATTGTTAAAGGGCTTTTTGGGGAGGGAGACAGAGAGAGAGAGAGAGGGGCCTCAAGTGGCTCTGATCACAAACAACACTGCCCCCTCCCCCCAGCAGGATCATTTCCTGTTTCTGAGGCCCTGACCTTAATACACTTTCCTCCAAATATTCATAGAAGGATATCGAGGCAGGACCTTAAAGATCATTAAGACTGATTTAATAAAAGAGGAAACAAAAGTGGACCAGAGAAGGGACCCACCTGCCTAGGGCCATATGGCGAGTTAGTGGGACATCCCTAAATGTGAAGCAGATGAGAAAAGTAGGACTTTTCCACTGGAACAGCATCTCCACGTGGGTGCAATATTCTGTACTTTTTCTGACACTCACTGTAAGTCATACTGAGAAATCCTAGGAAGTCTACACTTCTTCCCGAAAGTTTTTGCCAAAAGTGCCAGGGTTCCTGGCACTCAAACTTTTGAGACAGAAAACTTAAGATGGGAGTGAAGAGAAAGAAGCCAGTGGTGCTCCCAAAATTGGGAATTTCACACATGTACGCGTGCTTGCACGTATACGTGTGTGCACATGCGTGTGCTTAAGTACGGCTGGGAGATCACAAATCTGTCCACGTCACTTTGGACTCCTTCCATTCTACTGCATATAAGGCAACAGGCATTTATCAAGGGATTACTCTGTGCCAGGCACTGTGCTCGTCACTGGAAATACAAATGCAAGCAAAAAGACAGTCCCTGCCTCAAGGAGTTTCCATTCTAAATAAGAGGAAGATGATGAGGCTGGGGGGCTGACAGAGAACGAGGAAAGTATGGCTGGCCTGGAATTTCTGGGAGGAACCAACCAATCAGAAGAAGGGGATGCAGGGGCAGAGTGCCCTTCCAGGGTGAGAAGGCCACGAACCAGGGGAAGAGTGGGCTTCCAGGGTGAAGGGCCGCCGTGGGCAGCATGGCGGAGAAAGCACATCTCCACAGGCAGGGGCCCAGAGAGCAGCGAAAGCTCACAGGATGCCCCCGTCCATCCTCTAGACTTGTTCGTGCACTGGGACACTTTCACAATCTTTATTGTTGTAGCTGAGCCGTTTGCGTTGTGTCCAACTCTTCCTGACCCCATTTGGGGTTTTCTTGGCAGAGATCCTGGAGTGGTTTGCCATTTTCTTCTCCAGCTCATTTGACAGATAAGGAAACTGAGGCAGACAGGTTAAGTGACTTGCCCAAGGTCACACAGCTAGTAAGTAAATCTGAGGCCAGATCTGAACTCAGGAAAATGACTCTTCCTGACCGCAGGCCTGGCGCTCTGTGCACTATGTCATCCCCTAGCTACCCTTTACAATCTTTACACTGGTTCTTCTTGGCCCCTCTTTACCAGGTTTACTGAGCTGGTGGATGGCAGAGGAAGAATCAGCGCCAAATTCAGCAGCAGCCCGAGTAAATCGGTCACTGTGAGATCCCGTAAGTGTCCGACCGTTCACTTATGGCTCTGTCTGAATCTCAGGGCTGAGCGAGTCGTGGGGGCCTCCCTGCTCAGGGCACCAAAGCTGGCTCACAGCGGAGGTGATGTGTGCCTCTGCCCACCTGGAGCTACCCAGGGCTGCGGAGGAGCACAGGACACCGTCTAACCGTGCCTTTCCTGTTTAAAACCCTGCGGTGCCCGCCTAGGGCCTCTAGGCTTCAATACAACTGCTCAGTCTGCTACAGCCACTCTGGAGTCCTACCTCCACCCATGTGCACAGCCCACCTGCCTAACTGGAATGCACTTCCTTCTCCACTCTGGGCTTTGGTCCCTGCCTTTCAAAGAAGGGGGTTGGACTAGCCCAATGGTGTCAAACTCAAATGGAAACAGATTCCCACAAATTAACATTCGTCTATGTTGTATTCTATTTGTATTTATTTTGTCAAACATTTCCAAATTACTCTGGAGTTTTGCAGGCTCCTTGTGGCAGGCCTCCAGTCTGACCCTCTGGACTAGACGATCCCTGTACTGTCCTTTCCAGCTCTAGAGGATCCTGTAATATTCTTTCAAAGCTCCATGAAGCATCCTTGATTCTCTCTCCCCTCCCCCCACCTTTTCTCTCTAATTCATGTAACATATTTTAAAATCACTAATGCACATACATATGTATACACACACACACACACACACACATATATATAAACACAAAACTATGTACCTGAGTATCAAATACTTCTTACTAGACCATAAGCTCCAAGAAGGCACATGGTAAACGTGGGTGTTGGTGTGTACTCATTCCCCCGCCACCTCACCCCCCCCAACACACACACACACACACACACACATTCCCATACATACACACATAAATGTATACACAATTCTTCCAAGACAGTGTGGTCTATGGGGTGATAGGGAAAACGAGGCCCAATTACAATATTCAGACAGCCTAAGATGACCACTTAGATCCTGAACAAGCTTTACAACTCTGCACCAATTAATCAACAAGCACCTACTATATGCTGTGCATTGTGGATCCAAAGACAAAAATGAAATCGTCACCTCCCTCAGAGCTCACATTCTACCAGCTAGATATTCTAAAGGGAGTTGGAAATCTACCCCATGTGAAAGTAAAGACAGAACAAAAGTAGATCACAGGCTTAAACCCCAAAGGAGTAGCTGCCATTCTGTAACCTGGACCTTTATGTTTTTCTACAACATCCTAGAACCAGAGACCCCAGTGAAACTGGAGAACATGGAAGAATCTGCCAACCAAATCAGCCTGGCACTCCAACTGCCTGAACCCGAAAGCAACAAAGAGGAAGAAGGTGAGTCAGAAAAGAGGTTTGCAGTCTTGATCCCAGCACCAGACAGGAGCTCTGCCTATCCTTCATCCTGTGGACGGTTTCCCCCAGGTGGAGAAGGCTGGAAAGCCCAAAGGCCTCTTGCAGAATAGGAGCCATCTGCAAGGCCCTTCATCGTGCAAGTCACCTGCCTGCTTCTGTCTATGAGAGAGAGCCTCGCCTAGGTCTGGCTCCTCCCTCCACATGCACACGCGCACACACACACGCACGGCTTCGCTGATGCTGCTCTGTTCAGTGACTAGGTTTCCTATGCTTGGCTCACTCTGAATATGTCGAATGAGCCTGCAGTCAGAGGAAAGCCATAAAGAAGAGAGACAGAGGAAAAGCGCAGGACAGCAAAGGATGTAAAAGAAAAGCAATCCATAAAGAAGGAACAAAAGCAGAGGGGGAGAAAAAAAAAAAAGACCTAAGCTAGGAGAGACTTGTCTCCTGAGAGAGCTCAGGAGGCACTGCCATAGAAAGATTAAGTGGTTTACAGGCCTCCTCTACTGCGGAGCCCAGCTGGCCTAAGCTTCAGAAAGCAAGAGGTAACAGCTTCAGCAGCCCTACTCACTGAGGAGAGATCTCTGTAGATCCCACATAAGGCAGGGGGATAGAAAATAATTTATGTACATTGAAATTGGCCACGCCCTCTCCAGCGGCCTCCTGTGCCAGAACTCAGCTCTCCCCAGGGTGGTTTAATTCACATTTTTATATCCATTAGGAGCTAGCTGGACAGAGAAGGGGTTGCCTTCTTTACAGGGCAGTGAATAAGCAAAGCTGCGATCTGGTGAGGACACGCTTGTGCATATACCTTTGTAAGTGAAGTAAAATGAACATTCACCCTGTGCTTTGTCTGATGCATGGCCCTTCCATCTTATTTTTTCAAGCGTCCTTTTTGGTCTTTTATTTCATGAATCACAGAGAAAAGAGGAAAGACAATTCACTCACTCTGAGCCAAGAGAGTGAAGCCCTCTCAGCGGTGAGATCAGAAGTGCCTGGGCCCCTTCATTATTTGCATCTTCTAGCTCTTGTGATACAAGCAAACGCACTACCGAGAGACACAGGATAACAGGCAATCTGTGATCGGCGCAGTGCCCGACACATAGGAAGCTTGTCTTAAGTGCGCGGTGGTGAATCCTCATGAGAAGGATTATACCTAAACCTGGCTCTGTTCTTTGTTATGGGCCAAAGCAAATAAACCCTCTGGTGATATTTTTGGGAAGAGCAAGGGGAAATGAGCTTCTGAGGTGGAAGACGGCCTGTGTTGGAAACTTGGCTAAGAGAGATGAGCGAGCAGGCAGGAGCCAGAGGACGGCAATCTCTGACCTCAGCAGCAATATCTTAAGTAGAGAGGGCCAGACCCGCCATTTTCCTGAGGCCCCAGGTGAAAGCAAAAAAACAAATATTTGATAGCATCATGGCTATACAAGTAAAAAATAAAAATAGTCAAGGTAAGAAAAAAACTTTTAATGTGCAGATTTGGAGAGAACTGGAGAAGTAGAAAGAGAACAAACATAGTAAGATCCTACCAGAGAGTAGAAGTAGAGGGCTGGCCTCTACCACATTCAAAATATAATGGGACTTTAGCATAGTGTCGTAGAGAGCCAAACTCAAAGGCAGGAAGACTTGGGGTCACATACGCTGGCCGTGTGGCCCTGGCAACCTTCTGAGTCTACCAATGGAGGAGAAGGTGATGACCTGCATTGCTTAGCTCAGTGCCTGGCATGATAAGTGCTAAATCAATGCTTCTTATTGGCAAAGGAAATCTCCTCCCCTGGGAATCCCCTAAGCCAATGAGATCACACATCCAGTCCCCTATCTCCACGGTATGGCAGAAGCAGCCCTGAACTTCAGGCCACCCGGGTTCCCTCCCCAGCTCTGTCACTAACTAGCTGAAAGAGCCCTGAACTTCAGCAAACGGGTGGTCTGCAGTTCAACCCCGATACTTGCTGGCTGTGACCTTATGCAAGTCATTCAAGCAGTCTCGGGAGGAAGACGGACACGGGCGGGTTTCTAGCAGCAGTTCTGGAGGGCACAGGCACTTTCGTGAGTTCACAGGGCAGCATGAGATAGGAGACAGGGCACTGGACTGAGAACCAAAAAATCCGGGTTCAAATCCTGCTTCCAACAACACTTACTAGGTATATGACCCTGAGCAAGTCACAGAACCTCTTTCTGTTTCTTCCATGGCAAAACGAGGAGCTAGGATCTGATGTCTCTCAGCTCTTAGAAGCCCAGAGCCAGACGGAACCTGAGCAACCATCTGGCCCAACTCATGTTTGACTAAGCATGCCATGCCCTGAAGGCCATTTGCAGCTCTAAATCCATGATCTTTGGTATCCGAATATTATTTACCTGCCCACATCACATAGCTGGTGGGAAGGAAGCTCTTTGTAAACGTTTTTTCTTAAACCCGACACATGATTTCATTGGCATGGAGACTCCCTAGTGAATAATCTCTACCAGAAGAGGTCGGCAGCTTCTCTGTAAGCCAGTCTTAGAGAGCTGCTCAGTGTCTCTCTCACAGGCAGGAGGGACTACGCCAGAATCTGAACCCAGGGCTCCCTCACTCCCAAGGCCATCACTGCCCACAATCCCAGGCTGCCTTTCACTACAATGCTTTGGGTCACAAGCTCACTTTTTACATACAGTCTTAAAGAGTTGTTCAGGGCTTTAGGAACTTGACCCAACCCCACGGATAGTAGCAGGATTATTATCATTATTATTACCAGCTTCGTGTGGAAAAGGAAAAAAGGGTAAAGGTAGCAGAGTCATGAAAGAGGAGCAAGGATAGAGAAACAGAGGAGTAGAGAAATGATAGTCTTGGTTGGAAAGGTGGAAGGGAAAAGCAAAGGAGTGATGGTAGAAACCAGCTAAGCACATGTACCCCACAGGATGCTGGTGTCGCTGAATTTCATCTTCCCTCTGCAAGACTGCCTCTTTTACTGCCTTTCTCTGCATTTGGCAAATAAGGATGGAAACTCCTGGTGGAAGCATGCCTTTGGTTCTGCCAAGATCCAAGCGGTGTATTTTCCAAGTCAGGCTGTCTCCTCCCTTGCAGGGTGGCTGGCCTTCCCAGTATCCTCCACTGGACCAGCATTCCACACAGGCTTGGACAGAGAGAGGGCCCCTGGGGTGATGGTCCGTGCTCTCTTCCTCTTCTTACTGCACCCCATCCTGAAAAGCATCCCAGAAAAACACGGTGTGGAAGGCCAACACCCCTCCTTCTCACCTTTATTTTGCTTTCCCCCCTCGTACCATTAGCCTGTTCTAAGAGCTAACATGGCCTCAACGGGAGGCAGCAGCCAGGAGCCAAAAGGCAAGTTCTGCCATCCTGATATGCCAGGACAGGGGCTGGACGGTTAACGATTTGTGGCACTTTGGTTTCCAGATGACCACAGGAACTGCTCCATAAACCCCTGCCAAAATGGCGGCACATGTGTGAGTGGGATGGACTCCTACAGCTGTGACTGCGGCCTTGGATTCAAAGGCAGACACTGCGAACTCTGTAAGTCAGGAGCCCAGCCTCTCTTCCCAGCCCGAGCCAGGACCCGTCAGCTCTCTTGGATGCATGCCCCAAGAGGATGCACTCTGCCTTTGGCAGGACCAGCATAGGGCTGAAAAACAGTAGTGGGGGAAACTCACTTCTCCCTATCATACCTAGGGTAGGGAGGGAGAAAAGGAAGGGTTCCCAATCTGAAGCCCAGCTCCACGGTCTTCCTGGGCCAAAAATAAGAGTCAGGGGGCAGGGGGTGTAGAAAAAGGGGACTGTCCACTGCATTCCACTGTGCACGAGGCCTGCCTCTACAGTGCCCCCAGAAGGGCATCCAATGATGACCCCCTTGCACCAGAGGGGTGAGAAGGGCATGTAGATGTCGTTTGACTAGCTTTTCCTGGGAATGGGAACCAAAGAAGGCTCACAGAAAAGCAAGAGTGCCTGGGTATCATTTGAGGAGATAAAAAGTGTGTTCCAGAAAACCCCTCATTGAGAGTTGGTGCCACTCCAAAACCAAAGCCCACGGAAGCTGGACTTTGAGGCCATGGGCTGCAAACTTGACGTGACCGTTAAAAACAGCCCCATCTGTTGTCCTGAGCACAGCCCGCCCCGTAGTGGCCCAACAAGGCTCAAGGCGGGTGGGGGGCACTGCCTGCCCCTGTCCGGCTTCTCCACTGCTGCGTGCCCTTGTGGGAGGGAGGTGGGAGCCTAGAGACGGACTCCTCGCTGACCCCACTTCTTTCTTTCTCCTTGGACAGCATGTAAGAAGGTGCCGCATCCCTGTACACGGCTGTACTCGGAGACAAAGTCCTTTCCTGTCTGGGAAGGAGGAGTCTGCCACTACGTGTAAGTCGACCTCGCCCTCTCAACTTTCCAAAGCCCCTCATGAGCAATCTCTCAGTGCTGCCTCAGCAATGCTGCGAAGGGGTGGGGCAAACAGGAAATGGTCACAAGAAATTGTTGGCTCCTAGGGGGTTTTGGAATCAGTGGGCTCTGCAACACCTGTATGGCTGGGGGCAAGTCATGCCATCTCTCTTGACCTTGGTTTTCTCATCTGTAAAATGGGACGAGCTGGACTAGGTAACTTCTCAAGATCATCTTCCAACTCTAAAAGTCTATAATTCTATCTACAATAAAGTTGACTTGACCACAGTCACATGGCTAATGAACAACAGCAAAGTCAGCACTGAAACCTAGGCCTCTCAACTCTCAGGCCTCTGCTCCTTTCCTCTGGGCCTGCCTCGTGTGGAGCTTGAAATCACAGGGTCCAAGTTCAAATCCTGGTTCTACCTGTGTGACCTTGGACAAGTCATCTCCCCTCTGTAGGTATTGGTGAAATGAGGGGCTAGAAGCAGATGACCTCCAAGGGCCCTGCCACACTTCAATCTAAGCTCCTATGACCATGGGCAGGCAGGAACCCACCCAAACCAGCCTGACAGACAGGTATCCCTTCTGTCTCAGGCTCACATCCAGCTGAAAGGTGCATCATGTTAAAAACATGGAGTCAGTCAGCCAACAAGCACAGATTAAGCTCTTCCTATGTGCCAGACCCTGTGCTAAGCAATGAGGCTACAAGGAAAGGCAAGGACTATCCCAGCCTTCAGGGAGCTCGGGCTCCAGCCCTGGCCCTGCCAGACTTTTGCAGCGCAGATGTGAGGAAGGCAGGCGGGTCAGTAACCTTAATTAAAAAAAAAAAATTAAAGGCTCCTCCACAGTTTATCTAGATGACAAAACAAGCAGAAAAGTCAAGATCAAACCCGAGTCATTCCAAACACACATTACTAAATGTACTAAGCCCTCAGATGCCTCCAAAGGAACTGAGAATCAGGCAAGCTCAGGGACCAAGGACCCTGCCTGTCAAGGCTTGAAATCTACAATGTTCTCCCCAAAGGCAGCTGCAGAGCAAATGGGGTCCCTTTTGCCCAGAGCTCCTCGGCAAAGCCAGCTCTCTGACTCAATTCTCTCTCTCGACGGCAGGTACAAGAGAATCTACAGAGTCCATCCCGACATCTGCTACAAGGAGAGCTGCGAGGGCACAACTAACAAGAAGACCCCCAGCAGGTACTAGCACAGGACGCCAAGGACCTTCCCGATGGCTCAAGCCACCTGGTCACGGGGGCTAGTGGCAAGGGCTAGGGGGACGCAGCCAGCAGGTGGCTTCCTGAAATGCTGCAGCCAAAGAACTCATCGCCCAGTGACCCACCATGGTGACAGCCAGACACCTGGCTCTGCACAGAATGGAAGAGTATTTATGAAGGCCTTAAGTGAGAGCCTGGTCCCTCCTAGCTTACACAGGGTAGCAGCAGGGCCAAAGACGAGGCCCCAGGGGTTCGTTCCAAGCATGTGCACTATGGAGTGGACACGGGTCCTGGACAAATCAACATGCCTACTTGTACCAACTATTTTGGGAAAAGTCTTAAACTGGCTTTCTCATATTGGGCTTCTTCTCCCAACTCATGAAGCTCACTATCCTAGGAAAGCACAATCTAGAATAGGTAAACTCTAAAAACAAATTTGTTTCACTCTCCCCTTTTTTCTCTATTTCAGGAAACAAAGCAACAGTCAAATAGTTAAGAAGCCTTAAGGTAAGTGAGTGCCCTTCTTAGACTGTCCTTGCGAGGTCACGAGGTGAGGAAGGAGACACTTCGGAACACTGTTCCCTAAGCACTGAGCAGTGAAATTCATTTCAGTAGAAAGGTCATGGGCAAATCCCAGCACTCAAGCCAGCCCCCATCAAAGGCGGCATATTCCTGTGAATATTTTAACATTCAACTAAACAGACACATTTGGGGGGCTTTGGGGACCATTTCCCTAAGGGCAGTTCTTAGATACACAGACTGCTCTTTGCCTTTCTATCTCCAGGGAAAGTTCAGACCCTGGCACACAGAAAGTGTTTAATAAATGCTCAATGACTTAAAGTCCATACTAAGAGCCAGGAGAACAGGCTGTGAACCCAGGCACAAACACATCAGGGGGAGTGGTAGGGAGCGAAGAGGACCAGACTCCAAGCCCACCTCTTTATCAGCTGAGTGACGCTGGACAAGTCTGTGTGCTTCTGGCAGTTCCCAAGCTTTGTCCACGTAGCTGACCAGAGGGTCAGAGACTCGTCACTGAGTGCTGGATTCCAATCAGCTCAGAGGTCTCTGACTTAATCCGCATCTGTCCTCCCTCCAGTGGGACACATCTGAGAATTCCTCTCTACCCTCCCATCAGTAATTTCATAAGTGACTGTGGTCAAAACATGTCCCCAACCTAGTGGCCAGGTGGCAGACGCCATTCTTCCCAAGCAGATGTGGGAAATGAGGAGACTAAGCCTGTCCTCGAAGCCTTTCCAAGCTGAAAAGGCCAACTGGGGCACTGGTTCTGCTAACACTGCCTTCAAGGAACCAAGGTCCCCAGAGCAGGTCAATTCCTGATAATGAGAATTAAAGGCACAAAACCTCAACTGAAGGACAAATGGATACAAATGAAAAACCATTAGGAGAAACGAGGGGCTTTTACCTGGAAGGGATGAGGATGCAATTACAACAACTTACAATAGATGGAAATCAGTATCTAAATTGAAAGTATCATTGAAAATAGTAATGTCTTCTTTCCTCCTTCCTTAAAGGGTCCAGAACAATTGCAGTTTCACCTTGTCAACTCTAAGGGCTTTGAAATCCCAGGAAGATGAGATCTACCCCCTGGGCTGAAACAGAACCCAGAGAGGAAAGGCACTGCACTAGACGGGAGCCCACACCTCTGCCTCCTCCTCTCCCCAAGCCTCTCTGGGACATGCCGTCAGGCTGAACACCACACCAGCCACCTCCCTCCTTTGGGGACGTGGCCAAGGCTTCTTCAGTTTCCTAACTCCAGACTTCATCTCTCCAAGGTGTCTGCATTCTTCCCATGACATGCCATCCAAAGGTGCTGCAGCATGCAGCACAAGTGTTTGGAACAGCGTCGGCTCGTTTTCTACAATGACTGAAAGATATCAGTGTGTGGGTATGCGAAGGAGAGGGGGTTAACTTAGCAGACCACCAGGAGCATGCCGGAAGCAGCAGACCCTGGCTCACAAAGTTCAAAGTGGACATGAGTCTTCTGAGACCAAAAAAATCAAAATGGAGAAATGTTAGCAGCCTCCAAACAGCGAGGGCAGAAATGAATTTTTCCCAAGTTGAAAAGCAACCTCAAGCATTGTTTAGTGCTACTTAACCCTCTTTGTCCCTAGTCCTATAATATGAAGAGTATTTTTGTCAATTGATATTTTGCAGGTTAGTAGTCCATAGTATGGATTAGTGCCTTTTGGTATTTTGAAAGAAGAAATGTTAATTAACAATACTAGCTTAGAAACCTTTCTGTCTCCAAGAATTTCATATGGCCTTTTGCATGTGGACAAACTCATTCCTTAGCTGGCAGATCAGGTACAGCCATTAGGCCCCACTGGGCCAACGGAAAAAAGGTCTGCGCTGATGCCGCCTAGACAAACTGTTTTAGTCTACTGAGTCATTAACCTAAAATTTTTAAAGTTTGGTCCTTTACCAGAGAGGACACACTATCACTCATGACGTTAACTTTTCAACATGTTTCAAAAAACATTCCCCAAAAATGCTGTTAAAACAATGGAAACCCTACATAATACTTAGAAATGTTAACATCATTATAGCAACTGACCCCAAGTAGACCCAAGTCACTGCTGAGTTTTCAGCTCACTATGCCAGGCATCAGTCAGTAGTCAAGGGTGGAGACAGTGCTGGAACGCGTTAGTGCTCTAGGACAAGCAGGGGGAAGAGGAGAAAATCTGACCTTCAAATTCTAGAGTTCTATTTGTGAAGCACTGACGTAGCAAGGATTCTGGGTGTCAGGATGCAGTTTCCACAGAGGTTTCTCTTACCTGTCCACATTCCCCACTATCTGAGGGTGCTGAAGGAGATCACAACCCATTCAAACTAGAAGGCATTTTTTTTCACAAGATGCAGTCATATTTTACAAGAGGATTTCTTTGAAGGATCAGAATCTTGGTTTTTAAATTATGAGAATTCTATATAGGTATGTCTCAGGAAAAGCACACACACAAATTAATCAGCCATTTTCATACAGGAAGGACATGCCAAGGAGATAAACTACAGCAGACCTAAAAAACTCTTACTATTTCAAAAGGTGTACCAAACAGCCACTCAATGATTGGCTTTAGTTTAGTGAAGAGTCAAAAACACAGAGGAGGCTGCAAAAGGGTCATTCATACATATGAGCATGTGATTTTTTTTTTTCCAACAATACTGGGCCTCAAAAGGATCACCTGATATGACTGGAAATATACATGAGGGAAAAAAAAAAGACGTCTACCATCACGTTAATAAACTCCTGGAATCTTAGAAAATGAGAAAAATGTTTCTTTGATACAACAAATTCTGAGTTCGGTAATCTGTGACCGTGTGACCCATCCCTTTTGATGCTTTACAGAGAAATGAAAACATCTACTGAAAAAGTTTTTCTAAATATAATGTTTTGTTTTCACAGCAATTACATCTTTCAATTTGCCTTTAAAACATTTCAAGCACATCTGCTAAAATATTTTTTCCTTATGACTCATTCTGGACCTCTCATTTCTTCTGTGAAATCATTTGAAGGCCACTCGCCTCTTCCTAAAAGCCCATCAGCTCCTAAGGAGACTGATGATACAGGATTAGGGTTTGCCACAGACGACCCAGGAATGCCTCCCTCCCCAAAGGAGTATATTCACTTGGAGAACCCCGTTAGGATCCCGTTTATTTCACATCTCCCTGAGCCAGCATAAAAACACAGGCTCTAAAGAAACATCATTTGGAGTCCCAAAGACAGAAGGATGACACTAAAATTCTTGCACAGTGAAATGGTTTCATCTTGCATGCCACCATCTCCAGGGCAGAGAAGGTAGCTCTCTGAAAAATCCCCACCTCCATTATCACAAGCAACCTCTCCTTCATAACAAAAAGGATCTCGTTTAAGTGAACTGAAACAGAATTTTCTCCTTGCTGGGCCAACATCGCTGGCATCGGCTGTGGCCGCTCTCAAGCTCTGGCCTGGGTCTCCATTCCTTGGCACACACAAACACCCCAGTACTAACTAGTTAATGCAAATTGTACAAAATCAAGGCTAGAAAGCAAAAAACAAAAAGAAATTTTATTTCAAATCTTGTTGGTTTGAAATTTTTTAAACACAATTTATTTTCCTGAAGCCCCTTTCTGGTTGTGTAAGCGGGAGCAAGAATGTAAGTAAGCCTAAAGATCAACCTCAGCAAGTTTACATTTATGACACTTTTCAATGTATCTTGTTTAATAATAATATGTTAGTCATTCCTCTAAAGCCCAATGGGGGGGAAAAAAGGGTTAGATCAACATAGAGCTGTAAATGATCCCTCGATAAACTAAGCAATGAAAGCCTGAATAAAAATGAGAGCATCACAGCTTGAGGTTACCTAGCCTAACCCCCTCATTTTACAGCTAAGGAAACTGAGGCCTACAGAGGTTAAGTGGCCGAGCCAGGCTCTGAAGCCAGGTCCTCTGCCTTTCGGGCTGTGTCCCAGAGCCCAGTACGGCACACGGTCCCTTGGCGGAGTCTCTGCCTATGAAGCCCAGGTCTCTACTGGGGAATTCCACCCATGTGAAATTGAATCAGCTTAGCCAACATTCCATCCTGAGGAAATACGGCTTTGCTGAGGAGATGCGACACGGGTGCCCCACCAAGGCCACAGCTTCAGAAAGGCCCAACACGTAACAGCCTGGGCTGAGAAGTGAGCTACGGGTGAGTAATGGGGTTCCTCATTCAACGGGATCCTCACAGAACCTCATAAATCATCAGCGTGAAGCCAAAGGCATGGTTCTCATTCCATGGTGCGCTGCAATCACAAGTGAATCGGCCATTTTTAGGTAAAGAACCAGGTCCCTGGGAGGTAGCTGGCCACCTGCTGCATCCTGAGGGTGACCTCCCTCCTGCCCCTTCCCAGTCTTACCGTCACCACTTAGCACATTCACTGCTGACCCACCGGAGGAAAGACGGCTCATTCCCTCCCATCAGAAGGAAGAAACCCTCCCTCCAGGCTACGTCAGCAACTCACACACGAGCAGGGCAAAGAGTGAGGTCAGACTGATCTGCCGTTCTCACGACCATTACAAGCAGGAGTCCTTACTACACGTACAGTCACAAGGTCCTCCAGCCTCTCGGTCAGAGGACATCAGTAACTCGAGAATTCTCCAACGACTCTCGCAGCAAACGTCTTCGTAGAGTGAAACTCTCCCTCGGCACCCTCCGCTCATTTCTGCCTTTCAGTCCTCATCGTCATCGGAACCGTCAGTGTCTGCCAGGTCTGACTCCTCATCCTCAGACACGCTCAGACCTTCACCCTCCTCCAGTCCCTCCCGAGCTAAGAGCTGCTTAAAGACTTCAAACTCCTCCTGAGACGAGTGGGCTGTCTTGGCTAAAAACTCGGCTTCTGGGACTCTCAAAACGGAATTCACAGAAGGATTACAGATCTGGGTCTGTCCCTTTTTATCAGGAGTTTGGTAAAGGCCCAGTCGCTCTAAGAAGACATGCCTCTGTCTGATCTTGGTCATTGAGTACTGGAAATATCTGGTCTTCACCAAGTCCCGCTGCTTTATTCCCATCCTAAAATATGCGTACTGTAAGGAACAACACAAAGATATTGAGAAATCCCAGCGGCAGAATGGGGACCACCACCCACTCCATCATTCCTCATTCCAATCAACGTGTTCGAATGAAGACCGAAGGGGGGAGGCTCCCGAGTAATGGCTCCCACACAATCCGTGGCCACAGCACCTGTGATTTACAGAGTTCTGTCACACAGACCAGACACAAAGGAGACAATGGGAGAGAGAACCCAATAGTCAGCGGATCCTGACTGACCCAGTGATGACAGGAGAGGACAGAGCCCAGAAAAGCTGTGTGACGTTAACACACTGGTTGCCACCTCCCTCTACATTCAGGACACCTGACCAGGTCCTAGACAAGAGCATTTGAAGAAACTAAATGGGCAAGGAAGGGAGGACACCAAGAACGCATGGAGGAATGGAGAGGCCGCATCTCCTGCCCCTCAGACACATTCTTCCCCTTCCCAAGCTTCCCATGGCTCCTAGGAAACGTGCCCTGCCTCTGGGTCCCTCCTTTCCCTACGTCTCTTCTTCCTTCGATCCCACCTTGGCAGGAGTTACTATTGAAAACATTAGGCTCAAAACAGATTCCTCATTTGGGTCCTGAGAACACTTGAAGTCACAGCAGCCCTGCTCACTGCACACCAAGCCGTGCATCCCAGACAGTGGCAGCAGGTGAATGCCCCTTACTGCATGACTTGGCTCCTCTGTGCCTCAGTTTCCCTCTATGTAGAAAGTCCCTAAAGAAGTCATGGACAATTCCAGGCATCGGGTCACCATTTTCATACCAGTGACTGATCCATCAAAGGATGTACTTTATTCTCCTTATTCCAGGGTTCATTTAACTACCATTGTGATAGTAGTGAGCCTGAACAATAAATTTGCGTTTCTACATGAACTTCAGTTCATACACAAAGCCCTCACCTCACCCAAAGCTTGAGTTAGGCAGCACAAGTACTGTGGTGCCCCTCTGACAGGGGAAGGAAACTAGGCTCAGAAGTGGGGGGAAAGCCAGAAGCCCTGTCCCAGCCACAAGCCCCAAGTGTGGCCGCCAGGACCCCAGTCCAGGGCTTCAGACTCATGTGGGACCCTCCTTCCTCTGAATTACAGTCCCCAGCCCAGGCCTGACCTCCAGGGAAAGAGAAGGTAAATGAAGTGGGGAGAAGGAGGGCTTAGGAACCATTCCTCTCCTTAAGTTTTGCAGAGGGCTTGACCAGATGGACACCAGCACTCCTAGACACTCTCCAGTAGACCTTTGGTGACCCTCACTTCAGACTTCACTTGGGGGTTAAGGACAACAACACCCCACAACCATGTACAGCTGCCCATTTTTATCCTTTATCATCTCTTTAAAAAGATGAAAAACTTGCCTGGCTCCTAGATGCAAAGCAAAAGCTCTGCCCATGTGGGCAGAGGCCCCCACCGTACTTTCACCTGCTCTCTCTCACCTGGAATTTATACTCCAAGGCACTGGGGTCCTCCTGAAGAACTCTGGGACAGCTGTACAAAATCTCTGTCACCTGCTGCCCGGTGAAAAGGCATCTGTCCTTCAGAACGGAGACGAGGGCATCAATACGCTGCTGGGTCATGGTGAACAGGTCTGGACAGCAGTGAGTCACATGCCGCAAGTTCCCTGTGGGACAAGGAGAGGAAAAGGGATGACCACACGGGCCCCTCTTCACACAAAAAACAAACAATGAATCAGGTTCATGTGAACACAGGTAGTCCCCAAATTACAGACACACTGCTCCCAAAGTGCACATGCTGGAATCACAAAGCCTTTTTCCAAAGAAATAATGCTGTACATCCTGGCTAGCTGTACGCCCGTGTAAACCACAGAGCTGTGAAGGTCTACTGACAGCCCTCAGAACGTCACCACAGGTGCCAGTGCTTTCTGAGCCACACATGTTCAGAGTTCCACCCTGGGATAGCAGAAGCTGCCTCCCTCATCTAGCCTGGCTCAGATGGCCCCAGGCAGGCCTCCATCGGGACACGGAGTTGAAGGGGTTGAAGCTTCAGGGACTGGGAAGGATTGGGGGACAATGGAATGGTCACAGCCAAGGTGAACACAGAGGTTTCTGCACCCTAGCAGGCTCTCCCACTTAGCCCTTCGCCTCTCCATGGAGGATGAGAGGGTAAGGAAGACCCTCTCAGGGTGGGGTGAGGAGATGGGGCAGGGGCAAAAGATGCCGCCCACAAGACCAGCGCTGGAGCTGAGGAGGGCGGCCTTGGCAATCTACCCAACCTCCCTCCCACTACCAGGCATATCACGGCCAGTCTCACCGTCTTCCCAACTCTTCCCATCTTGTGAGATGAGAAACGAGAACTGAGCTGGGACAGGGCCTAGGCAGCAACCAGTGGAAGAGAGAAAAAGGGAAAAGAAGTGCCAAGAAGGGTCAGGAAGTAGGGATGCTCCAGCTCCTGGTCAGCAGGTGAGCGGAGGGTGACTTGCCTCACCACCTCCCCTCCCTGTGTCGTGCCCCCTCAGCGCTCGTCCTCCTACCACCAGAAAGAAGCCACGGCCTCGTTCCATCTGGGGCCTTTCCTCAGCCCTCCCCCATTGTGATGACCTCTGCAGCTTCCGACACTGAAGACTGTCCTCACAATACAAAAGCTTCTCATGTAAGACACAACCTGGCTCCCGCTGTCTGTCTTATTTCACAGGACTCCCTTTCACGCCTTGCCCATTCCAGCTGAAGAAGCCTGCCCATTCCCCAGACACAGCCTCCCATCCCCTGGCTGCAGGCCTCATTTGAGGATCCCCAGTACCCCCTCCCGTCCATCTTTCGGACTCCTCAGCACCCCTGAAAGCACCACTCAGACACCACCTTGCACCCAAGGCCCTCCCAGAGCCCCTTCCAGCTGGTCACACTCTCTTCCTCTTGTATCACTTTGTATTTACTTATCTGTCAATGCGCTGTATCCCCTCGTAGAATGTAAGCTCCATGAGGGTAGGCAGTGCCTTGTTTTTGTCTCTGTATTCCCAGAGGTCAGCACAGTGCCTTACCCAGAAGAGGGACTTAATAAATACTTCTCTATTTGAGTTGAAAAGAGAACTCTGGCCTCCTCCACTCATTTCTGAACTGACATTTAAAGCCACCTATACATGTGGTTTACCTGACATCATTAACCAGACCTCAAAACCTTGACACTTAGCCAAAAAGCACGACAAAGAATAGGGAGTTCCGCTACATTCACCCCATCCCGAAGACAATCAGCCAAAGAGGCAGATATGCTGTTCTTGCCCAAGGGCACTGGTCACAGAAACAAGATGTAGGACAAGTCTACAGTCATTAATAATGATGATAACAGTGCATTTATGTCGCACTCACTATGAGCACATTACAATTATTATTTCATTTGATCCTCACAACAAAGCTGGGAGTGTTATTATCCCCAATCCTCATATAAATGAACAAACCGAGGCAGACAGAGGTTAAGTGATTTGCCCAGGGTCACACAGTGAGTGTCTGAGGCAGGATCTGAACCCAGATCTTCTTGACTGCAGGCCCGGCACTCTCCTTCCTAGACCACTGAGCTTCCTAGGGCCCTCTTCTCTTGGGGGTCAGGAGGGGCCAGTCGATCAGGACTCCCAGAATCTGCCATAGCACCCAGAAAGGAGATGCACAGGAAAACTCGCACGCTCTCTGGCCGGGCACAATGCGCGATCATCTCTCTGAACTGTTCTCACACAGGGCCTGAACAAGGCAGCCAGTGTCTGCTAAATGTCTGAAGTATTTATTTCAGGAGACTGTGCATCATGCCCAGAATGTCTTCCTCAAGATACGCCAGAGGCAGAGTCAACCAGGAAGAGGAACCCACCAGGTCCATGTGCTTCCTGTTCATCTTTTTGGTCAATGGTTATGCCCAGAATCATTATGAAATATCGCCTAACAAGTTTATGATTCAAGGGATGACGTTTGGGAGGCGTCCCGGGCAATGGAATTCAGGACGACTTGGGGCTGAATTCTAGCTCTCCCACCTACCGCCCTGACGAGCCTGTGGTCATCACCTCACGTCTCAGCCTTTGGGTTCCTCTGTAAAAACGGAGGGGGGGAGGGGGAGGAATCATTGACATGGTGAATCCCAGAGCGCACCAAGATGTCCTGTCCCCACGACCCAGAAGCTTCCCCTCGTCCACTCTCCCTCATTTGAGATAAGTTCTCTGAGGGCAAAGACTGTGTCACTGATGTCCTCATTATCCCAGCACCTAGAATAGTGCCTAGTACCAAGCAGTCCCTTTTAAAACATTTATTCCACAAAATCAGATGGCAATAGGAACATAGGATCATGGATTCAGAGGCCATCTGGTACAACCTCTTCATTCTACAGATGAGGAAACTGAGGCCTGGTGAAGATATGTGAACTGGCCAAGGTTACACAGCTGGTAAGTGACCAAGCCAGGCCCCAGGCTCCACTAGAGCCCACTGGCTTCCCCATATATATATATATCTATATATATATATATCTATATATATATCTATATATATATCTATATATATCTATATATCTATATCTATATATATATCTATATATATATCTATATATATCTATATATCTATATATATATCTATATATATATCTATATATATATATATCTATATATATGGCCCTGAATACCAAGCTGTGGAGAGGTAATGGGAAGCTGATCTAAAGGTCTATGAGTACTATGTACTGTTCCCACTGGAGCTTCTTACGACGCTTTTTGGGACTAACAAAGAATGACCTTTTCATTGTTTCTTCTGGAATAAGACAAAATGTGAATTATTTCACTGTAAGGCAATTCAAGGTAAAGTGACAGAAAGTTTTTCAAAACAAGGAGAAGAAAGAGGAAGGTAAGAGAAAATCAGTCTGTACATAAGAGAATCCCATTAAGAATAATACCTCCTCCAAGCCCCAGCCGTCTCAGATGACTGGCCCGATTCTTCAGCTGTTTGACTGTCAACTGCAGGATTCTAGGATTCTTCTGCAAGGCTTTACATACAGGATCAGGGTCCAAACCCAACAGCATGAGCTCTGAAACCACCGCCAGCAGCTGTTCAGGTCTGATGCCTGCATGGATCCTGAACAGTTCCTTTATATGAGTCTCGCTGAATCCCATGTCCAAAAACAAATTAACCACCTTCTCCAACTCCACAGCACCCTGATCCACGGAGGACGGCTCCTTCTGAACCAGGAGGTTCACAACGTTCTTGCTGGATTCTAGCTCCTTAACATGGTTTCTAGAAGTGAGAAAGACTCTTTCTTCATTATCACCTTTCAAGGAGGCTGTCGTTAATCTACGACCACGAATTTGGGAAGGAGCCCCAGCTGCAGCATTCTGTACGCTGTGCAGACACAGCCGTGGGGCCACACGTAGACCAGAGAAGGGGACCAGCCTGTGCCACTGTAAGATCTACAAAACAATGAACAAGTTAAGGGTCATTTCTGTTTTTAGTCTGTACAATAATGGAAGACCCAAAACTTTGGAGACTAGGCCTACCTGTCACGTTTGGATTACAATAAAAAACAGCCAATTTTTAAAGCAATCAATTAAATCATATCCCACATCAGAACACCAGTTCAACTTTGAGGAGGGGCTCATGTTAGGGAATTAAACCCACTGCCCATTCTGAAGGAATTTAAAATCAAATGGACTTGAATTTAAAATATATGACACTGTCACACATTTCACACATCACTATGCTACCTATGACAACAGCCATCCCTCTTCTTTATGGTTATTTTTCCTTTACCATTAACACATGTGTGTGAGTATATGTGCATATCTGTGTATATGTACATATGCGTGTATATATATATTACATATTTTATATATAATATATATATGGTGCCTAATGAATGCCTGCAGAACCTAACTAAACACAACCCAACGGGGGGGGGGGGGGGCAGCCTCGGAAAGGACCTGGGTTCAAGTCCTGCCTGCCAGCATGGCTTGTTGGAAGGAGTTTCCTCACCTGGGAGTCCCCTCCACCAACAACCACAGGCCCATCACCTACGCTCCAACTCCCCCACACTTTGCAGATGAGTAAACTGAGGCCCACACGGGCATGCGCTTCGGGAACTGGGGGGAGGAATCCCAGCGCCTCGAGACCCCCTCCCAGCTCCGACAGCCCCTTCCCCGGGCCGCACAGGCTCCCACATCACGAATCCGCTGAGTCCCGGGACAGCTCAGCGCTGCGCAGCCGCACTGTCGCACTGCAGCTCCAGGAACCGGGGGGGGGGGGGGGGGGGGGAAAGGGGGGGGGCCCCCCCTTAGGCCCCCCGCCCCCCGGCCGCGCAAGCGCACTTCAGATTCCAGGGGGGAGGGGAAGGGGAAGAGCCGCGCAGCCGCACTCCAGTCCACTCCAGCTACCAGGCTGAGGAAGAAAAGGGAGCCGCGCAGGCGCACTGCGGCTCTTCTAGGGCCGGCTCGTGGCCGCGCAGCCGTACGAGCAACCCCCAACCTGGCGCCCTGGTCTGGACCACAGGGAAGCCTATTCTGGGTTCCACGGACCCAAACTCGACTGCCGGCCCAGGCACTCCTGCGCTGGGCAGCTCTGGGACGGCGCCTCCCTCCCGGGACCTAAGTTTCCCCTCTAGGGTAGTAAGCGCTCGGCGGAGGAGGCACCGACCTGCCTGCAGCTCGCCGCCATAGCGCCGTGAGTCCTGCGCGCCACCCGTCGATCGTCCGGCTTTCTTCCGGCCCGTCGGGCTTCTCCGCCTCGAGCGGAAACCAGCGCTCGGCTCAAACGTTCCGCTCTTCCTCTGGCCACATCCGGGGAATAAGGTCGGAAGACGAGCCCGGGCGAGATTGGTGGCTAGTCTGATGACGTCAGCGCTGGCGGGGGCTGGGGAGGAAGCGGAGGAGAGAACCCGGGAGAAGGGTCGGGGCCCGCGTGATCGCCGAAGGGGAGCGTTCATCCTGCAAGCATTTCACGATCTGGGAATGCCGAGAAATAGGAGAGCGCCTGCCCTCGAGGAGCTTGCGTTCCATGTGCACCCGGAGTCCGCAGCGCGGCTCGGGGCCATCGGCTAGAGCCCCCCGCCCCGGGGGAAGGATGGGGAGGGGGCATGGCCCGGGGGAGCACGAGAGACGCCTCCGGACCTGGATCCTCCCCAGCCCCCCCCCCCGCGAGGGCAGGTGGCCGGCCGCGGGCTCTGGCCCCAGCCCCGGGGGGCTTCGTGCCTCTGCCGTTGGCCGGAGCCCCCCAGACTGCGCTCCTTCCTTTTAGGGTTCCGTAATCACTCCACTCAGGGATGCCCGTGATCCCCCCCCGTAGTGCCCCGGCCCCGAAGCTCGGTTTGAGTGATTTCCTGCACCGCAGACCCCGCCCCCCCCAGGGACCCTGCAACAGGTGTGCTGGAATTCCAGGTTCCAGATCCCGGGACTGCAGCTCCCGGTCTGGGCCGTGGCCTCGAGACCCTCCCCCTGCTTCCTGCATTGGGAGGGAGGGGGACCGAGGCTGCCTCGAACCCGCCCCCGGGCGGGCACGGTGCAGAGGCAGGTCCCTGGCCGCTCCCACGGGGAGGCCTGCTTTCAGCGGTCCCGGCAGGACATGGCACACATTTCCAAGGGCTTATTTTATCTGCGCGATTTGGGTGACTTTTCAAAGCAATGATTCATTTTATCAAACGCATGGAGAAAATGAATTTATACAAGGAATGACCGTCTGGTGATCCGGTGTGGCTGGATCCCACTCTTCTTACCTGCTCAGCCCAGGATTCCCCAGACCTCGTTCCATCTCCATTCCAAGGGCCTTCTCACTGGCGGTGCCTCCACGTCTTTACCCACCTGCTCCAGTTTTGAAGAGTTCCTCCCCAAAACATCAGTTTGAGAAAGTACCCACACCAACTAGATTCACTTCTAACCTGGCTCAGGTCCGAAGCCCTCAACTCTCCAGATTACCTTTCCAGGTGACTCCTTGCCCATCCTTTTATGTGTTGTCTTCCCCGTTAAAATGTAAGCTCCCTGAGGGCAGGGGCTGTCTTTTTGCTTATATTTGTATTCCCAGTGTTTAGCACAGTGTTTGACCCATAGGAATATCACTTAGTGAATGCTTTATCAAATCCAGGGGTTTACAGACTATGGCCTGAGAACCAAATCTGACCCTCAGCCTGTTTCTGAATGGCTTGCAACCTAAAGTTTTTACTTTTTTAAACACAAGAAAACCTTATTTGAAAATGTAAAAACTATTCTTAGTTTGTAGACCATACAAAAACAGGCTTCTGTGTGCCATAGATCGCTGACTCTTAATCTAATCAACAAAGAGCAGTGTGAAATAAAGCCAGAAAGGCAGGCTGAAGCTGTATTATGCAGTACCTTATACACAATAGGTGAACGATGGTCCAAGGGGTTTGTGCTAAAAAAGTCTTTAATGACACCTTAAGCAGTAAATAATGGCTGAATTATGTGACACAATATTTTTTCCTCTGTGACAATAGGCATGTTTCAAGTTTGTTTCTGCACTGACTTGAAACACACAGTAATTCTGGTTTGACTGAGCACAGTTTCTCTATATGTCATCAGATTGTTTCTGAATCACCACAAGGCTTCACCTTCCAAGCTCAAACCAACAGATGGCCAGGTGCATGCACATAACCTCATTTGCATTCCGTATACTGTGCAAGCGTGACACACTCATCCCCCTCTACTCCCCTGTAATCGCACCGCATCAGCCGAGTAATCGTGTGATCAGGGCATAGCAGATACCAGGCTGTCACCGAGTATGCACACTACATGTCCCCTTGAAATCTCTATGGACCATCACAAACAATCTGCAGAAACAAACCTTGTATTGCCTCTCATTGCAGCAGTAGGGCAGTTTTCTGATTTAAAGAGTGTAGGCAGTGTGCCAATGATAGAAAAGGAAGTCACATCTGAAGAGTTTACAGATTGTTATATAATGAAGCAATATATGCAATCAGACTTTAAGCATATTTATCATTTAATACAGTGCTTGTCATTAGCTAGTAAAAAAAGTAAATGTTTTATATCACAACTAGCTATTCATTTTTGGCAGTTATTTCTGTAGCTAAAAATAAAATGTTTCCATCTGTCAGCAAGAGAGTTGATAAAATTCTGCCATTTTCCATTACATATTTGGTTGAGCAAGCATTTTCACTTTATTCTTGTATTACGTTAAAATACAGAAATAAACCCAATGTGGAGTCAGATTTAAGACTATGTTTAGCAGTAGGTGGCACCACCGGGGACAGCATTAGGCCTGGAGTCAGAAAGACTTGAGTTCAAACTCAGCATAAGACATATATCACCTGCTTCTTGAGCACTATTGCTCTTTGGAACACATTATTCCATTCCTTTCTGTATTTTCTACTGCGTGTAGAATAGTCTTGTGGTATTTGAATTTCTTTCCCTTTATAATAGAAGATCTTTCTCCTGATTGCTTGCAGAATTTGTTGTTTCTCAGTAGAATTGTTCAATCTAACCACTATGTGTGGTTTGCAGGCTCAGGTTTCTTTTTGTTTGGCTGGTTGTTTGGGTTTTTTTTTTTCTTTGAAGGTACTTTATGGATACTTTTGATTAACAATTTTCTGTGTTTAGAGGTTCTAGGCAGTTTCCTGTTTTTTTCACTGTAGTGTTTCAAGTTTTTTGTCATTCTTCAGGGAGACCTGTAATCAGTCTCTTTGTATCCTGGCTTCAAGGTCATTAAGTTTTGCTTGTATGGAGAGGATGCTTTCTTTTCATGCTATTGCTTTTTACATCGCTTCTTCCAGATTGTCCTTTACTTCCACATATTTGCATTCCCAGTCTGTCATCCTCTCTTTTGTTTGTTTGATGACACTTGCCGCTACAGATTCAAATTTTTCTGTCCTGCCAATTATATCTGATGTTCAGGCCTTAAATTCTGCTCTCACATTATTTATTTCTCATTTAAACATTGTGGGAGGTCCTCTGCCTCATCAAGTGTAGAATCCTTTTCCTTCATCTTGAAATACATATTCATAGATGCCTGAACTCTTTCACTTGATCCAGAGGCCATATTTCCTCCTGCTGTTAATGTCTCCTTGTTGGTTTATCTGCTCATGCTCAAGGTCTTTGAGTTTTCTTTCTCCTTAGATTTTTGATAATTTCTTTCTTTTCCCTTAGTTTGCCCTATTGCTCACTTTCTCACTCCCTCCCTTTGAATGGCAGTTTCCTCGGGGTTTGGCTCTCAAAGCTTCTCAGCCTCTTCCCATCCTAGGCAGTTCATGGTTCACCAAACTTATTTCTGCCCCCAAGTGATTGAGGGAGAGAGGAGAGGTAGAAAGAACTGGCCCCAGCTAGATTCTGGGTTCTTTCTCTTAGGCTTAGTGGAGTACCACACAACTTCCCTCTCTCTCACTGCAAATCTCAAGTTAGAGCAGTTGTTTCACTCCAGGGTACCCGTCTTTTCAACCCTAGCAACCAGTTCTTCCTTACTGGTAAGAACTGGGTCCAGAACATTTCACTCATTGCTTCCTTCACTTCTTGAAGGATAACATCATTTTGAGAGATCCAGAAATGTTTAGCCGCTCTGGATTTGGCGGAGATAGCCAGGACATGTCCAGAGAACTGATGTTCCTGTCAGTGCCATATCATTATCTCAGGTTTAGCTTGGGATGTGTCCCAGACCCCTCAATGTGGCACAGGGGAGAATGATGGTGTTGGAGCTATCACTGAGCTACAAAACTGGAGCAAACCCAGCCTAATTCTCTAACTCAAGGAAATCTGAAACAGTTTGACTATCCTGCCTTGACAAGAATCTCCTAAGTCTGAAAACAGTGGCTTAATGACTCCAATGAGAAAAACTAAATGGATGAAGAAGGCCTGTTGTCCAGACAAGGCTATGTCATCATTTCCCAGCCAGTACAGATAATGAGCCTTGGCTGTCTTCCAGGCCAGGACTCCTCCCATTAGCCCACACTGCCCATCTGCGCCACTAAATCACACAATCTAAAGTCATTATAGAAATCAATTTAATGTGTTTATCAAATTGTACACAAAACCTGGGCAATTGAGTTCTTTTCTTGGAGGGAATTTAGGGGCCTGGAACCAGAAACTGATGCATCTAGGAAGCAAAGTGACAGGCATGATGCAGACTGCAAATATGGACTACACCCTCGGTCATTTGTATAACATTCATTTTTAAACACATTCCCAAAAATGTGGGGAAAATTTTAGCCTCAGCATTCCATTGCCAAGGTATTAAATTTTCCTTCTCCCCAAAACACATGACACATTTCTACTGTTCAGTTTAATGAATTTTAATTATTTTCTCTTACAAAAAAGTGACAGACTTCAAAGACACGGGCTTGTGCATTCTTGGAGGCAGCTCAGCTTCACCTTTGGAGAGCACATTCTCAGGATACTTTAGCCACTGGAATTCCTGAGCATTTTAAGGAAAAACAGGTTTACTTTTCAGTCCTGCAGAAAGGAGAATTCTTAGAACATAGAGAAGCAAATCAGTCTTAAGAGGTAAACGTCACAAGCTTCCTCACTGTCGTGCTGTTCTTTAAAGCAAAGCTCGTCTAAGCAAAGACCTGGACGGAGGTTTTCAGTCTGACTCTACTGAAGAGAACACATTTAGCAAATGGGAGCTTTTCCAGGAAGAAGAATTCAAGCGGCGCCATCAATGAGGCACGTGTTCTGAGGGTGGAAGGGCGCCGCTTTGTCGCTGTCCGTAACTACAGGAAGCAACTGTACCTGGCCGAGACACTTCCTTCTAGCCTGTCCCCCTCAGCGGTGACCATCAGCAGAAGGCACCTCTCTGTCAGCGAGAGTTGTAATGTATAGTAACAGCCACCTCTGTGCTTGGAGGTGCCGGCTGCCCAGCAGGGTGCAAAGCACGGCCCACTTACCTTGGTCAGCCCTGAACTGGAACTGAAAGAAAAAATACTCGGAAGGCTCTGGTCAGTTTGGGCCGACAATTCTATGGAGTTCAAACGTCTGCCTCTGACGGGCACAGACCACGTGACACACACAAATACAGGAGAGGAGGAAGGAAGGGCGAAAGCACAAGCATGTCTAATGTCCTCTGTGAAAAGCCCCGTCACAGTATCAAACTTCACACTACAACTGTTCTTTTCAAATTCACACAAGGAAAATTTGAAAATAGAATCCATCCCATACACTCAGGGCGCGGTTTTCTTAAGATTAGCTCTGGAGAGCATCAAGATTGTCAGCGTCCCACCCTGCCCTCCCCAAGGAAGGGTTCTGAAAACAAGGTGGTGGAGACGGTGAATGAGCCCAAAGCTATTCCTCAGCAGTGAAGATGGCAGGGAAAGTGCGAGTCATGGGATGGCCCCAGGCATGGTCCTCTGGACACAGGACACAGCAGCAGCCAGCAGCAGCAGCTTAGTACTTAAAAAGACACAATTAGTCTACTTTGACATTTTGAGGTCCTACTTACTGTTTCGTTCAGTTTCCTCTCTCTCCTCTAGGGTGAATGAATACTACTTTCTGAAATGAAAGGACAGTTATTAAAAGCATGCAATTAAAACAATGCACACCCTGCAAATTAGCCTGTATGACAAAGGCAGAGACAGTTAGTGGTGGAGGAGCAGTAAGAAGGCAGGCATACTAACAGACTCTTGGTGGGGCCGTGCACCAATCCAAGCAGGATGGATTCCAAGAATGCCTACACTGTTCCTGCTCTTTGGCCTGCGTGTGTATCTGTGTGTCTGCACACACACATTCCCCAAAACATTCACCACAAGGCTCTTCATGAAAGTAAAAACAGAAACCAAGTGGGTGTCCATTAATGGAGATTAGCTGAAAAAATTGGAGTACATGAATTTATGTAAAGGGATGAGGAATTCAGAGAAACAACCCTGAACCATGTACATGAAGCTGACCTGGGTGGGTCACTGAAGAAGCCCCCACCTCACTTCTCCCTGCAGAGGGCAAAGAGCACCAAGACTGCTGTACACAACGTCAGAGGCGACCACTATGTTCAGCATTTCTGCTTACTCGTTTTTCTTGCTTACAAAGGGTGGTTCAATGTAGGGAAGACAGGGACTTTTTTCCCCCCGGGAATGGCAATGAGGTAAAGACAAAAGACATCCAAGATATTTTTTAAAAGCTCAGTTACAGTTCCATATTATCTGCTCACATTGACCTCAGGTGCTAAATATAAGAGTTTTGTTGCTTCCAGTGAGCATTCTAGAGAACCTTCTGTGGACATTCTTTAAAACATACCTGGAATTACCACAGTCATTGCAGAGCCAGCTAAAGTTTGTGGAGCACCCCATCTTAAGGTGAATCAATGCCAGCTATGTCTGGGGCCTTGTGTGGAGCAGCAGCCTACCCCAGCACTTGATGAGCCCTCTGCCTGCCCTGCCTCTTACCTGGTATGGCAGCTGAGTGAAACACCTCCTGCCAGGAATAGTTAGCTAAGTTCACAGGCTGGATTACCCAAGGATGGTGTATCAGTGTGTCCAAGGTCATGCGCTCTTCTGGGTTGGGCTCCAGGAGCCCACAGAGAAGGTTCAAAAGGTCTAGGGAGAACAGAATAGGATCACCCATGGAGCAAGGTTCTACCCACAGCAAACAGGCTCTTATGCCTCCTACTTCAAATTCCTCCTCAGGTCACCCAGCCCTTAAGCCAGAGACTTTCTGGAGAGCTCCAAGCCCCTTTCTATGCCTTAGAATGTCACCAGTGATGGAGGAGAGGAGGTGGATGTGCAGGAGAGTCAGCTGAACTGGGGACATCAGGGCAATGGGCCACAATAATGAGCAGGGGCCACAATAATGAGCAGGGGCCACAAAGCACGGAGACTGGGTAGACCAGGAAGTTAAGCCCCCCAGCCCACCCTTCTCTTTCAGACAATGCAGTAAGGGATGTGTCGCGACTTCAAAATTAACTTCAGAAGACTAGAGAGAAACTGGTAACAGCCCCATTCCCTTTTACTGTCCTGTTACCGAGCCATCACCTACTATGTGACCAAGGCCCTGCTCTTAACCCCAGGCATGAGCTCAGAGGAAAAGGAGTCCCATACATTTACCACTCTCTTCATAAAGCACAGCAGGGGGATTTCTTCAGAACTCTTGCCTGGAGGCAATGCCAACAACCATGTTGTAGGTTAGCTCATTACTTGTATGCGGTAACTATTTCTGAAAGGACGTGACTGACTGACCCACAGTACCTTCAGCATCAATGTCATACCAAATCACGTCCTCAAGGGGTACTTTCTAGTTCAGCTCTTCTAGTATTTAGTGAACAAGTGTGTGTTCGCCTCCCCTTGTGACACCTTGTGCCACATTTCCATCTTATCCTCTCTTGGCCTGCATACGTCTGAGTTGAACAACACTGATCTGGGTGACCTGTCCTCCTGTGGAAGGCACTTCATCACCTCGATTAAGAGTCACACTTCTGTGGCTGGCCACTGCGGAGATGTGGTCATAGCACGTGGCCTTCCAAGCATCCCCACGCACCCAGGATTGTCCAGAGCTCCTCACCGTCCCAAAGGAGGTTGGTCACAGAGGAGAAGACATCCCCCCAGCTCCTTGTTCTCGTTCCTACCCTTCTCAAGGAGATCCTGTTCTCAGATATCTCATGTGCACAGAAAGTGTGAAGAGCTCATTTCTAGAGAGCCATCTGAAGTGGACAGCATGTGACATCTTAAGAAAGGACATTCCCACAAGAAGCCAGTGACCTAGCTCTTAGCCCAATGTGTAGGAAAGCTACCATTCTGCCTCCAGCATCAAAAGCCTTAAAGAATTGTAGTGCTGGCCTCTAAGTGTATCCTGGTTCATTGCTTTTTGGGGTCAGAGAATTAGAGGATCAGGAAAAAGGGAAGTAAACAGACTCCCAAGAAGGAGATAAAGTGACCGACCACTATGGAAGGAGAAAGAAAATGGAAACATGGAAGCTCTTAAGGGAGGATTCATGATGAAATGAAATGTACTTACCAGGTGAGACTGAAAAGGGAGGCAGGATTACAGCCTCCAGGGCCTCATCTAACTCATTAAAAGGATTCTCTTCAAACATTAAAGTATAGAGGGTCACCCCGAGGGCCCACATCTCCATTTCTGGTCCTTGGTAGCTGTTCAGAAATAAGCAGCAGTCAGTCACACTCACAGGCACATCCCAGCCATCTGACTACACTCCTGGAAGCTGGCCCTGGGCACACTGTCTCTCCCCTGGTAGGCGCCCCTGCGGGAAGCTACCTGCCTTTCACTACTACCACTCACTCATTCCTTGACAACAGGAGAAGGCACCCTCAAGACTGTACCTTGTGAGGAATGAAGCAGGCGCTGGGAGCACGGGTCTTACCCCCACGGCGTTCATTCATGCCCTCTGTGGGTACGAATGCTTCTATACTGGGAGGAATCATGTGTCTCTCGTTGAGATAAAGTACGACACTTTACCATTCAGAGGGAACCTAACCCACGAGATGCCAGGCTCAGTCTGACACCCTTTACGGAGCAGACTCCAAGTGCCTATGGTCAGAGCCAGCAGCAGCCTCTCGATGCCCTGACAAACGCAGCCTGGATGGTCAGCCGATGAACCCGGGCCGTCTGGTGCCTCGAGCAGCCTGAGGACCTCCAAAGATGAAGCGGGCGGACCCAGGGGCAACCCCTCATGAGTCAGAGCTCCTCGACACAGCTCTATTGAGATAAGGCTGACATTAGGGTAAGGTTGGTCTGACCCCCGTTCGTGGAGCAGACCAGATTCAGAGACAATAGTGATGTGCCCTCAGGACCTCAGAGAAGATGAGCCTGGGAAGATCCATGTGTGCCCTGTGGGCTCACAGCATCCTCAGAGCACTGGAGGCCCTGGGCTGGGACCAGCGCCCTACAACTCTCAGCCCCTTGCCTGGTGAGCTGCACCATGCATAGAAACCTCAGTTTGGGAAACAGCAGCAATCTTAAATGTGAATCCCCTACATTAACCGAATTTGCTGGCCAGATCATTAACACTTTATCTTTTGAATGAATAACCTGACGTCACTCTGGGCGCCCACATAATTATTCCTTGGTAAATCTAGCATTCTCTCCACTTATCTGCAGAACAAGACACCCAACATGCAGTCACTTCAGGGCCTCCTGGCGAAAGCCACCCTGGATCTGAGGTGCTGGGCTGGGTGCCCTCAGCCTCTGATTCCTCTCCTTATCCTAGCAGAGGCCTGTTTCAGAGCCCTTCTCGTAGCCAGCCAACAGCACGGGGATTGAGACAAGAGGGAACCCGGCGATGCTGGGGTACATACGCATGTCCCATGAGGACTTCTGGGGAGCAGTACTCGATGGTGCCACAAAAGGTGTAGAAGCATTTGCCAGGTTCCATATAAACAGCTGAGCCAAAATCCACCAGCTTAATTGTGAAGTCCTCTGCAATGATGATGTTTTCATCTTTAATGTCTCTATGGATGATGTTTTGGGATCGGAGGTACACTAGGGCTGACACCACCTAAAACACAGGTGGAGACGGGGGTCATTGTCAAGCAAAGCAAATCTGCTCTCCTGTCCAGCCAGCGGGGCCACAGAAAGAGGACGGGTCACCACACCAGACTTGGAGCCTGTTGAGACCCATCCCTTGTGAAAGCCAAGAATGTCGACCGGTCATGCTCATGAGCATGCTAGAGCTGGAGGGGACAGAGGGGCTGGCCTCCTTCCCTGCTCTGCAGCGGCAACGCTCTCCAGACTGGGTTTGTGGAGGGGGCAGGGAGGAGGCACGTCGTGTCGTTTCCTGAACTTGAACTTGCAATGAGATGGGAAGAAAATCAGAGAAGTGCGTGTGCATGTGCGGGGGTGGGCGGTGTTTTAAATGAACTCAGTTTTGAATTAGAAGACTAAAAAATCTCAAGTCAAGATATATGGACACCTAAGAGAATCCCGAATGTTCGATTTTAGTCAGTGTTACACTGTCCACACCATTTTCAAAGTTCCAAATAATAAAGATTCTAAGAATTCCCTCAAAATGCAGGCTCATTTTAGACGTGTGGTACAGTATGGTAACTCTCACTTTGAGGAAGCAACGAATACCACATATATACACACGTACACAGACACACACACATATATACATGTATATCGGATGTGTAGGTGTGTGTGTGTCTAGATAGTGTCTTTTAGTAATAATGTGGCTACTTTATACTCTTTTGTCATATGGAACATGTGGGGATATCTGTCTTGCATTGAGAGGAAGGAGGATTTTAGAACACAAATGTTCTTTATAATTTTCCCCCTTCTCTTGAAGCCCCCAAACCTTCGCTGGGAGGATCAAGGCCCCCTCACTTTTTTAACACTACCTGTTCAGAAAGGGTAAGCCTCGAGATGCAAGAATTTTTTCTTTCCTGTCTTCAGGATGCCGGAAGGCCTCCATAAACATTACTGGTCATGACAAACTGAAGACTATCTATCATCCATGCTGCCGCACTCCTCAGAAGCACCCAAGCCAAACAAGAATCCCCTCCAACCTGCCCAGCCTCCTCGAAAGCAGGAGCCTCTTCGGCACTGACCACCTCGAAGTCTCTCTCCCTGGTAGCACACACATCCCTCAGGAGGCCCATGCTTTCTAGGCAGCGCACAGACCCGCCCATGGACACGTGAGCCTGCCCCGACCTCATGCAGTCCGCCACTCACCTGTCTGAAGATGTAGCTGGCCAGGGGCTCGTCCAGAGCGGGGTGGTTGTCGATGAATGTGAAGAGATCCATGCCAGAGCCATGTTTCTCCATCACGAGCTGGAAAAACCCTTCGTTCTCAAACACGTCTAGTACCTGGAAGAAGGAGGAGAGCGCCCCGTTGCCATGGTGTGTGTCCCTGTTCCCTTTCCAACAGCTGAGCAAAGAGCATCGAAGCAGAGGGAACAGTCACGCACCTTAATGATGTTGGGATGCTGCATCTGTGAAAGAATGGCAATCTCTTGAGTCACTTTTCCCATTTGGGGATCTGTCACCCAACACTCCTCCAACACCTTCTCCTTCTTAATAAACTTGACCACCACCTACGGCGAAAAGAACATCAAGGACTTCCCTCGACCTTGGACCCTGCTGATCCAAAGTCTGTGTCCAACCCTGCAAACCCTCGGGCATGAGGAAGCATCCAAGCTGTACTGCACAGAAACGGTAGGCTGGGAACGTTTGATTTGTTTCCTAAATCCTTCAAAAAGACATTTAAAGTAGCCATGCCAATGATAACGTTACACACATGTACACACGAACATAGGTTGTTCTGTTGCTCAGTCATGCCTGACCCTTCCTGACCCCATCGGGGGTTTTCTTGGCAAAGGTACTGGAGGGGTTGCCGTTTCCTTCTCCAGCTCATTTTACAAATGAGCAAGGCACACAGGGTGAAGTGACTGGCCCAGGGTCACATGGCTACTAATTGTCTGATGCTGGATTTGAACTTAGGTCTTCCTGACTCCAGGCCCGGCACTCTTTCCACTGTTCCACCTAGCTGACTGTGTATGCGGAGGTCTATGTAGCTGTGTATGTATGTGTGGGTGTATATGTATCTGTGTATACAATGTACATATAACACATAGATCAGCAAAACAAATCTGTGCATCTACATAAAATCAGATGAGAAGGCTGAGATACCAGAGACCCCTTAGGTTTCTATACCCTCTGCTGCCTGTTTCTCTAGGGAAAAAATACTTCATCCCCAATTAAAACACATTGACCCTATCATGTTTGTAAAATACTCAGAAAGCTTTCTCAGTTCAGTTTTTTTCTTTTTTTTTTTGGTGAGGCAACTGGGATTAAGTGACTTGCCCAGGGTCATACAGCTAGTAAGTGTCAAGTGTCTGAGTCCGGATTTGAACTCAGGTCCTCCTGACTCCAGGGCTGGTGCTCTGTCCGCTGCGCCCCCTAGCTGCCCCAGTTCGGTTTTTCAAGTTGTTAAGTCTTAAACCACTTGCCACTCCTCAAAAGCAAGCGGGTCATCTGGTGCTAACCCTACCTGACTTGGTCACATAGGAGCATAAGAAAGGTCCTCCATCATTGTGCGTGACCCAAAGAGGAAGCAGAAAGCTCCCTGGGGGCAGTACTCCATTCAACCCCAGCTGTCACTGAGCAGACAGGGATGGGTCTCTGCCCGATCCCTCCAAGGCAGCAGAGGTGTATTTACCCATTTCAGGAGGTGCTCAGAAGAGAGCACCTCCAGGGACTCACACACAGATTCTGTCACCCCGACAGACGTCCTGTGGGACACACATCTCATTACTGACATGGTGCTCAGAATCATCTTTCTGGTCTTACACCACTTGCTACTTCCCAAGCATCTCCTGCTATGAGCTCCTCAGGCCTACCATGAGACAGAGAGGAAGTCCCAGGTGTATCTTTGCACTCTTGTAGAACATCCACACAAATAACTGACATTAAAAACCTCCCCAAGCTCCCCTCTGCCCATCCCACGCTGGCCGACCACCATCAAAGGACATAAAAGAGCAATGGTGCAGGCAGGCAGCGCTACCACAAGGGGCAGCGGGCAGGGAGGCCTATGCCTGCTCCATGCCTACCAAGAGGGTCTTTACCTCCTTGTCTTCTTCCTTACTCTTAGCAATCCAGACAGAGCCGAAGGCCCCACTGCCAATGGGCCTCAGGGTGATATAATGCTTAGAATATTCTCCATCATAAGCCCTCAGTCCTTCCAAGTCTCTGTCCCGGGAGTATTCATCCAGATAATCTTTTGGTCTTCTCATCTGGAAAAGAACACAACAGAGGCCTCAGGGGCCAGATGGTGAAGTGGACGAGCAGTGGCCCGGCCCGGCCCGGCCCTGCCCAGGCCACAGAAGGGGCGCTCCATGATCCCTTCCTGACAGCATCTGGAGCCACCGTGCCTGCCAGACTGCGGAGAGAAGGATCAAGTCTTTAGGCACCAAAGTGGACATACTTAAAAATCAACAAAAACTCTCTCTTGTCTCTTCCCATTCAAAAAAGGAAAGGAAAGGAACATTGTCAGGCCAAAAGATGGTGAGCACTAAGTGAGAGGTCTATAGGAGAGGCCCTAAGGAGATCATTTGGCCCAGGCTCTGGGAGGTCAATGACTGGCCCAAGAGGACCTCAGATACCTACTTCTGTGCCGCTCCTAGGCTCTTCCAGTAAGGACTGAGATGAGGAGCAGAAGCTGGAAAACAGGTACTGGGCCCTTCCCATTGTGCGATGGTTTTGGAAGAAGTCTTTTACCACCCAGCAGCAAAACAAATCTGCAGGTCCCTTTAACTCCACGTGCTTTATTTCAAACTGTATATCTAAAGGAGAGGGAAAAAAAGCACGACGATGTGGAGGCATCAGACACAGTGTGAGGAAGGGGAGAAGGGAGGTATGTGGAAAGGCTCAAACAGGGCTGGGCTTCAGGAGGCCAGGAAGCAGACCACCATCACAGGGCGACGTGACAACATCGGCAGTGGACACCGGCGGCACAGACACCAGGCTGCTCGTGGCCTGGGACCAGGACCGAAGAGAGACCCAGGCCAACAAGGGAGGAAAGGTCAGCCAGTCAGGCAACAAGCACTGATTAAGCTCCTACTATGTGCCGGACACTGTGCTACACACTGGGGGTACAAAGAAGGGCAAAAGACAGGCCCTGCTCTCAAGGAGCTCCCAGTCTGATGAAGGAGACAACAGGCAAACTGCTGGGTACACACAAGACACAGACATGAACGTGGATTGGGAAAGGCTTCCGGTGAAGGTGGAGGAAGCCAGGAGACAGAGGTGAGAAGGAGAAACCTCCCAGGCCTGAGGGATGGACAGCTGGTGAAAACTCTCAGAGTCAGCAAATGGAGCATGTCGTTCAAGGAACCAGAGGGAGGCCAGGGTCGCTGGATTGTAACAGGGAGAAAGAAGACCGGAAACGTGGGGCAGGGGGGTGGGTTAGGAAAGGCTCTGGACACCAAACATGGGACTTGATTTCTGACACTGGAGCTGATAGGGAGCCCCTAGTTTTGCTGAGAGAGAGGAGGAGAAAGGGGTGACCTGGTCAGACCCACATTAAGGCAGGTAGACCCACCAGCAAGGCTAGTGGAAGAGTCCACCAAGGTGGCACTGTCAGAGGAAAAAAGGGGGCGTGTGTGAAAGATGTTACAAAGGAAAATCAACAAGCCATGGCAACACCTTGGATCTGGGAGGAATACGAGACAGGGAGGAGCCCAGGATGAGTCCTTGGTTGGGGGCCTGAGGGACTGGGACCGAATGGTAGAACCTTCAGCAGTAACAGGGGAGAGAGGAAGATGGGAGGGGTTTTGGGGGGAAAGATGATGAGTTCAATTTTGGATATACTGAGTTTCAGATGTCTAAGAGACATCCAATTTGAGATATCCAAGAGGCAGCTGGAGATGTAAGATTGGACACGAACAGAGAGGTTATGGATGGATGAGCAGATTTGAGAATCATCGACATAGAGAAGATATCTGAATCCAGGAGCGCAGATGAGATCACCAGGGGAAACAGTATAGAGAGAGGAGAGAAGAGAAGAAGGTCAGGGCAGAACCCTATGGGACACCTACGGCTGGCAGGAGGCAAGGGGAAAGGAGGACCTTCTCTCCTCACAATTGTCTGTTCCCAGCAAGGTTTCCCAGGGCTCACAGAGAGCAAGAAGCCCAACACCCGGGGACGCTTTCCCCAGCCGTGCCCTCTCTCCCTGTCTACAAGGAGAAGGCAATAACACTGCTCCTTTCCCTACTCAAGGGCACAATGAATGCAGGTTCAGCTCTACTTCACGAGCCTTTTCATCTGTGCTTTTAGCAAATCGGTCACCGAGGTGCCGGGCGGCAAGCAGCAAAACACCTTGAGTGTGGGGACTACTGGAGGGATAGGATAGTAAATACATCGAGAACTTTCTATTTTCGGAGGATGAGAATGAGCTAAGTTAAATCACTCTGAGGGACGAAAGAGTAGTAAAGAGGTAATAATTGACGGGAAGGAAAATATAGAAGGAATAAATCAAGTCAATGCAAATAAAAGTATAATAATGAAAAATGTTCAGAAAGACTTTTCTAAGCAACAAAAAACTTCCAACTTTTCAGAGAGAAGGATGAAGGGAGGGAAAGCAGAGAACAGAAGAAAAGTAATTTTTTTCAAGACCTTAGAACATTACCAAATTGTCAGAGCTGGGAGGAACCTTACAACACAGAATGTCAGTGCTAAAAGGGATCTTAGAGCACAGAATGTTCAAGTTGGAAAGGCCCTTAAATACGGATCATAGAATGTCAGTGAAGGAAGGGACCTTAGAACATAATTCAGCGCAAGTCAGAACTGAAAGGGTATTAGAACATGAGACACAGGATATGGCCACCAGAAGGGACAGTAGAGCACAGAAAGTCTGCACTCCAAGGGCTCTTGGAATAGGGAAGGTCACACAAAACTGCAAACGACTCTATTATGCCAAAGCTCAGAAATGGGCCAGCCGAGGGGTATCCTGAGAACCCCTTTCTTTCTTTCTAAGCAAGATGGCGGCTGAGTTAGATCCCCGCCACCCATGACCTGAAATTTAGTTCCATCTCTGCTCCTGACTCACTACGACCTCAAGCAAGGCCATTTCTCTTGGGCCCTCAGGTTTCTCACTTGTAAAAAGAAAACATAGGAGACAACACTGGTACAGTGGACCTCAGTACAAGTCTCAGCTCTCAATCTAGAATCTTACGGCCTATGACAGCTTGAACAAGTCATTTAACCTCTTAGAAAAGGAATAGGTCTGACCTCTAAGGGCTCAAAATAGATGGCCCCAGGAAGACCCTGGAAAATACATTTGTGAAGACAAAGACTAGGAGAATGTCATTAAGACTTCTGCAAAGGCACCTGGAGTTCTTTGACCTCTGGCCCCCAAAGCCTTTGTGGATACAGGGGTGAGGAAATCCTACCTCCCCTCCAAAAAGAAACAACTTTCTCCCTCTAGACTTAGAAGAACATGGCCTCATACTCTGCTGATTATAATTGGTGGATTGACGCCTAAAATGTATGCTGCACCCATCCCAAAAGGAGCTCAGTGAATTAGCTGAATTGTAGTGATTGGACCCTCCCAAAGTAAGCAGTGTGCTGGAAGTCGTGTACCACAAGACTCTTTTTATGCTGAATGACAAGTTTAGCTCTGTGCGCTTAGTTGTTCCCTCCCACCTGGTGACACAGCTCTGTTCCAGCCTCAGGAACCAGATAAAACAAGATAAAGAATTAAAACTTACATCTCTCCATGTAGGCCAGCTCAGTAGCTACACTCTCTCTTTGTATCACCAGGACCTAGTACAAGGACTGGGCGTTTGGATGGCAATAAATTCTTGCAGAATTAAACTGTTGCAAAATCTTCTTTGACTCTACTCCCTAGTTATAGGTAAATGGCCAAGCCCCCTACCTTGTGTCCAGGCCCTATCGTATCTCTCTTGCCTAAGTCCCAGTTTGGGGACCCTGCCTCCTGCCACAGTTCCTCCGTAATCCTCCTAAGGATGGAAGGCTACAGTCCCCCATGGTTGGGGTGCAAACCCCGATAGCCCAACAGCCCTGATACAGATTGCCTGCCCCTAGACACCGATGCTCCGCCATATACATTCACTCCTCAGTGTGGAGTCTCCATGACTGCCCTTGACATCTATGATTTTCTGACAGATTTCCCTGATGGTGTCATTTTAAGTTTGGTCCAGCGCATGGCCACCTCACTGTTGTATACATCAAACATGCATACAAATACCTGTACATCGTCTACCTCATTTAAACAGGAGTTTCTTGAAGGCCAGGGATACATTCTTGCCTTTCTTGTATTACTAGCACTTAGCCAAGTACTTGGCATGGGGACTTTATAAGTGCTTGTTGACTGATTGCTAATATAACATTAGTTGGTAAATTCATGTTTGCTGAGGAATCATGGCTTCCTGACGTTCCATTTATACTCCCTAAACTAGAAGTCATTCAACACATGACCCCCTGGAATGCCCCCACTCCTCTAAGCAAACTAGCCCCTTAATTTTCCAGACAGCCCCAGTGTACTGTACCTGAAGGATCTGCAGGAAGCCAGGAGATGCAATGTTTCCTATATATAAGGGGAAGGTTGGGAGCCTAGTCTGCTGCTGTCTTTCTGTCTGTCAATCTGGGCCCGCCTTGTGTGCTTCTCAAGGTTCGAGTCACCAGTTGACATAAGACTTGGGAACCCCAGAGGCCAGAAAAGGAGAAGGGGGAAGGGAATCAGCATTTCTTTATCAATGTTCTTATTTGATCCCATAATAACCCTGAAAGGTGCTATTATTGTCCCCATTTTACAGTTGAGGAAACTGAGGCAGAGGGAGGAGAAGTCATTTGCCCAGGACACACAGCTGGGAAGTGTCGGAAGCTACACTTGAACTCATCTTCCTGACTCCAGGACCAGTACACTGTCCATGGTACCACCTAAAATCCAAGTCATGTTCTCAGCCTCAACAATCCTCAACAAAGAAAAGGTAAGTCTTGGCCTGGTCATTTGTGACTCCAAATATTCTTGAAAAAATTTTTATTTCCTATATATGCTTTGTGTCTTTCATTTCTCTAAGAGAGCTACTGGCTTACCACAAAAGGATTCATTTAGGAAGCATCAGCTGTTAAATGGTAAGGAAAGTGGCCCAGAGAATCATAGAATCTCTTCTGTCCCCCACAAGTCCCTATCTATCCTCAACTAAGTCACTAACCATTAAACTAAGTCCTAATATCCTTTAAACATCTCCACCAAGCTGTCCCATCAGCATCTCAAATTGAGCTCAACCAAAACAAAACTCATTGTCTTTTCCCTGAAATGCACATCTCTTCCCAACACCCAATTCACTGCTCCTGCCACATCCTCCCTTCTAACTGAAGCTTTGGCTTTAATGGAATTCATTGCTTATCCCACTTTCAACTGAATTAAACATTTACCTAGCAAGTAAGTGCCAGGCACTGTTCTAGGTTTTGCAACTACAAAGACAAAAATGAAAACTACTCTCTGAAGCCTCAAGGAGCTTCTAGTCCCTAGTGATGAAGGACAACATGTACAGGGATCCCTTTGCAGGGAAAAAGCCCTGAGAATGAAGGGAAGTGGGAAAGGCTTCTCTCCTGGAAGCTAAGACCTGATAAAGGCCTTCGCACTGGACACAGGTGTTTTTGTTACCCACCTTTTTTTATCCCAGTAAGGATTTTGAGAGATTGGGATGAAAAGGAAGTGAATTCCAGACACTGACCAGCTGAGATGTTCAAAGTCCAGAGATACAGAGATACAGCTACTATAACAAACCGACTGTCAGAGGCACAATAAATTGAGGGA